AGCTCCGCAGTGAGATAAAGCTACTGTGTAGCTCTCTATCCTGAAGCCAAACAAATAGAAGTGGGATATTAAGCTCACTATATTGAACCGCACTGCCTTGGCAATTTGTGCAAAATTTGTGCAAAAGTCCTAAAAACAAAAGGTGACGACGTATTTGGAAAACGGACGTGGCTTAGCAAATGTGGCTACTACGGTCCCTCAGTTTTACAAACAGAGCTGCATTTCACTCATTGCATTCCTGCCACGCTGCTGTGTTTACATCTGAGAGGAGGAATAAAAAGCAGAATCCTTCTTTGCGCCCTGAGCCATTTCCCCACGAAGGTTGGGAGAAAATCGAACATGTTTGATTTTCTCCCGACCTCCCGATTCCTGATCAGGAGGTGGTGGTGAGAGGCTGTAACCCCCTGTACACTACACAACTTACGATGCACGATCAGGCTGAAAGTCCGCCAGATTGAAAGATTCTCGCATGAAAATCACACAGTGTACGCCGGGCTTGACTGTGACTAGCTGGATGTGCTCTCTTCATCCTTTGACATGGGAACTTTACAGTTGCCTTTTGTATCTATGCTTCTTTTTCTATGTCTGCTTCTGTCTCCTTGAACCCCAGTGGGCCTTAGCAGATGGCCGCTCACACTGAGCCTGGTTCTGCTGGAGGTTTCTTCCTGTTCAAAGGGAGTTTTTCCTCTCCACTGTCGCTACAAGCATGCTTGGTGTGAGGGATTGCTGAAGAGTCAATGAGTCGATGCAATCAGCTGGTGATAAAAAACTTTGAATCAATCCGACTGGATGATCTGATGAACCGTAAAGTGCCTTGAGATGACATGTGTTGTTGAATTGGTGCTATAGAAATAAACTGAATAGAATTTAATTGGTCCTGGTTCTGGTTCTGCAGAGTAGAGCTGATCCATTAGACTAGAGAGGTCTGGCCGTTGATCCACTGACATCAGGTCTAGGGGTGTGCAAAATAATCGTCATGATGATGCATCGTGATTCTAATTTTCGTGATCTACTGCATCGATTCTTGACGGCAAGTATCGATTATTAATTTAAAAAAATTAATAAACAAAATTGCATGAATGGTTGGCGAACATCAGCCAAAAACAAGTGGAATACAACTTCCAGTCCAGTAGATGTTGCTGCGGATGTGTTGATGCACGCTGCATTGTGTCACGAGCATTTCCGGCCGCGGTATACTGCGCCGAGTCATTCAAAAACAAAACATGGAGGAGAAAATATTGCAATGCATCGCACTAATTCAAGTATCGTGATGCATCGTGATAGAATCGCATCGTGGCCTGTGAATCGTGATTCGAATTGAATCGTGACTTCTTTGGCAATACCCACCCCTAATCAGGTCGCATGTATTTTGGAGCGAATCCATTCAATGATTCATAAACTACAGCAATCATCCTTCACATCACAGTGATTTTCAGATTTATTCAGGCTAAATTTGCTTAATGTTGAATTTGTTTTATCTGAAACATTGAAGAGCAACAGAAACAGGTAAAGGAAAACTACTGAGCTGAAGGACCAGATGGTTTCACATCATCATCAACATGAACATTTCAATAAAATGTCCAGACCTCTGTCACAACAGTGAACAGATTCTAATGGTGGTGGTGAATATGATGAGGATGATGATGATTGTGATAATAGTGATGAAGATGATGGGAATGATAATAATGGTGATGATGATGATGGTAATAATAGTGATGATGATGATGTGAAGATCATATAATGATGATGGTGATAATAGTGATGATGATGATGGTAATGATGATGAAGATGATGGGGATGATAATGGTGATGATGATGTAATTATGGTGATGATGATCATGTGAAGATCATATAATGATGATGGTGATAATAGTGATGATGATGATGGTAATGATGATGATGATGATGATGATGAAGATGATGGGGATGATAATAATGGTGATGATGATGTAATTATGGTGATGATGATGATGTGAAGATTATATAATGATGATGGTGATAATAGTGATGATGATGATGGTAATGATGATGAAGATGATGGGGATGATAATGGTGATGATGATGTAATTATGGTGATGATGATCATGTGAAGATCATATTATGATGATGGTGATAATAGTGATGATGATGATGGTAATGATGATGATGATGATGATGATGAAGATGATGGGGATGATAATAATGGTGATGATGATGTAATTATGGTGATGATGATCATGTGAAGATCATATAATGATGATGGTGATAATAGTGATGATGATGATGTAAAGATCATATTATGATGATAGTGATAATAGTGATGATGATGATGATGATGATGGTAATGATGATGATAATGGGGATGATAATAATGGTGATGATGATGTGAAGATCACATTATGATGATGGTGATAATAGTGATGATGATGATGTAATTATGGTGATGATGATGATGTGAAGATCATATTATGATGATGATGATGGTGATAGATCTATAAGCCAAAGGTCTAGAAGTGTTCTCTGTGTCTGTGGTTTGTATTCTCTCTGTGGACCTAAATCTGTCCCACCCTGGACATGACAGGTGGACCAATAAAAACACCCCCCCCCCCCCGCCCCCAGCATTATGAGGCGTAGTTATTATCTGCCTCCTTTATGGCTGCTGTGATGTCAGGGAGTAGAGAGCAATTAAGATCAAGGGAAGCAGGGCCTCGTTATCTGGCGGGGAGAAGGCCTCTGGGTAAAGATGCTGGCTTTATGCTACATGGCTGCTTATATTTCCCAGAGCTGTGAAGCCAATCATGGCCCAGTAGTCAGACACTTCCATCACCTCACACCCCCACAGACATCAACCCCCCGCTGGCAGTCCGATAAACCTCCAGCTCATTGTTTCAGCACAGCCTGCACCTCATCCACACTCTACATGCTACGTTTCTAGAAGCAGCTCTGGCTCCAAGCATGTTTGGATCTTCTAGAACAGTCTCCAGTTTTTTTTAGAAAGTTCAGGGTGTTTCATGTTTCTGTATTGTTAAGTTACTCCTCTGATGATTCTTCCTTGTCCTTAAATGACTTCTATCTGTTCTACTTCTACCTGCTGAGTCTTTGTTTCTATGAAAAGTCATTAAGGTCTCATAATGACTATAAAGTTTCTTAATATTCAGCGTTTCTTATCATTGTTGTTGTTGTAATAAATTCCCCTCCTACCTTCTTTAGAGAAATCCATAAGTACCTTTTTATTTGTCCACCTGGTTTCTTCAACATTTAAAATCATAATTAAATTTTTAAATAAAAACTCTTTTGTATTTATTTATTTTTCTTATTTAAACTAAACGTTTCAATCCAACAATTAAAGAAAACAAACAGTTTTCTTCCTGATTTGAACCAGAATTTTTTTTCCCCAAACAATTAATTCCTGTGGAATAACAGGATTATAACAGTTACCCACAAACCTTTGCTTAAATGTCCCTTACAATGACAGGTTAGTAAAATATTAACAACGAGGACCCATATTTATGCCATTTGTGCAGGAAAATTCCTCTCAGATTAGGCAGACCGCATGAACCTATACTAAACTACTTGTTTTGGATTTCCACATCCCTGTCCTCCCAAAGGCCCCGCCCCTACAATCTGCTACCATGACAACCATTCATTTATGATGTTAACAACAACAATACACGTTGTTATGAGAATACAGTCTTTCTAATCTCACTGTAATCTTGGAATGAATCCAGATTAAAATGGCTCATTTAAATTCTGTCCAATGCAATCATGATGTGTGTTCTACCTAAATAATAAGTCTTTGAACAGGTTTGTATCATGTGAAGCTCTAGAAATGAAATAGGCTAAATAAATACCACAGAAGCTACACTTTCAAAAAGCATACCACTTTCCCGACATTCACCCAAGTGATCATCAAGAAGCAAACATTATGTGGTAATCATCTGTAGTATCGTGGTAAAATGAAATATAAAATTACATAACACACCCTACGGAAAGCTTTTTGCTGGTCATGGATTCTCCTCATGATAGTTTACCCTGGCAGGTAGTTTGTAATATGGCTCACCTGTGGCCACCTGGAGAATAAGCTCGAGCCCATCATCCTCAACCACTGACGACCGCTCTGATTCAATTCACTTCAGTTTATTTCTATAACGCCAATTCATAACACGTCATCTCAGTTCAACAGTTCAACAGATCAACCAGGCAGATTGATTCAATGTTTCTCTTCCATCCAGGAAGATTTTTCAATTCAAAATGTCAGAAATAGCGTTTAGTTCCAGGTTTTATCCAGCAGCCCAACAAAGCCTGGTTTTAGTTTAGAAAACATGCAGATAGAAACGGATGAACGGCTTTGTTGGGATACTGGATAAAATCTGGAACTCAACTGTATTTCTAACATTTTAAACTGAAAAATCTTCCTGGATGGAAGAGAAACGTCTTCAAACTCAGAAACAAAGTCCAGCAGACTGATTTTGAACTTTTCTGGAATGACTGACCTGGATATAGATGATAGATAACATGCTGCAGGTCAGCTCTTCATTCACATCTGAGTTTCTGTACATGGGAGGATCATTAAAGTCCACCTGCTGATAAACATGGAATCATACTGGGAGCTGCTGGTTAAAAAGCTTTTACTGGGAAGGTAGGAAGGAAAGGCGGGACTTCTTCAGAGTAGAAACTGGCAAATTTCAGAAGCATTGAGATGGTTTATCTATCAGCAGCTCAGATTTGTCGGAATATGTTTGGGTCAAAAAAGAAAACCTTAAAGTTCATGGAAAGGTGTTTTTTTATTATTATTTTTAGGTTGTTGACATTTATTTTAACTAAGAATCCAAATGATTAGTTTCTGAACGTCTAAAAGCGTCTCGGGCTCCAAAGATCAGTGACATTAATCCATAAATCATCTGACTAGAAGAACCTGGACCGCTTAGGCAGTCCAGGAAGCTCCCGGATCGGAAACACCGCTTCTGGTTCTGGTCTCCGCCTCTGGGTCCAGTGAGGCTTCAGCCCTCCGTATCACCTACCTGCGTGACAGCTGTGGCCGTGGAACCGTTGGGTGGGTTCTGGGTCTGCGGTCCAGTCTCTCCGCCTCAGCCGGAGGACACGCCACGCCACGGTAAATCCAAAACACAGCGGCTCCTCTGATCACGCGTGGATGTGGGTCTGGCAGCGGCCGCCTGCCTCTGATCGCTGAACCGGAGCGCAGCGCAGCGGGCAGCCAGAGCTTCGGAGCCCGAACTGATTAACCGGAGGCACACGCCCCGCCAGCGGTCCACGGTCCACCCGGTACCGCCTCCTCCCGTGACACAAAGAGGCGGAGGAGGAGGAGGAAGTCAGATCAGCTCTGAGGTCTTCAATGGAACAGAGAAAACAAAGATCCTCCTCCATCCATCTCCATCCTCCCCTTCATGATTTATTTCATTAAATAGAAGAAAAACCTGTTTGGACTCAGACTGGTTCTGACCCAGAACAGATAAATATAGATTATAATATTAATATATATATTATATATATAATTTTAACTAAATATTAATTATTTGATCTTCACATTGATTATTATAACTGGAAATTAATTATTTTAACTACTTATTTATCATTTTATCATGTATTTAGCAAAGTAGTTTATTAAATAAAGGGAATGTCTCTCTTCCAAACAGATCTATCATAAAGATTTAAAAGTTGCCAATTCATACATTTTTTAATCCATCAGGTTGAATTGTGCGACCAACATATTAGGCTGTATTGGCCAGAAATAATTATATATCAAACCATTTTTAATCAAGTGAATCAGTGGAATCAGTTTAAACAGTTTCTTAGACTCAAAGTTCACAACATATTTTTCTGTAAATCCTGTATGATTTAAAGTAACAATGTTATGTGCTTCCATGGGATTTCATTTAACCTTACAAAGACAAAATATTTCAGTTCAGTTTATTTCTATAGCGCCAATTCACATCATATTGTCTCAAGGCACTTTCCAGTTCACCAGATCATCCAGTCAGATTGATTCAAAGTTTTCTATCTAAGAAAAAAAGTTGATTGCATCGACCCATTGATTCTTCAGCAATCCCTGATGCCAAGCATGCTTGTAGCGACAGTGGAGAGGAAAAACTCCCTTTGAACAGGAAGAAACCTCCAGCAGAACCAGGCTCAGTGTGAGCGGCCATCTGCTGAGGCCGACTGGGGTTCAAGGAGACAGAAGCAGACATAGAAAAAGAAGCATAGATACAAAAAGCAACTGTAAAACACCCCCATGTCAGAGGATGAAGAGAGCACATCCAGTTAGTCACAGTCAGAGAAACAGGACTACACAGAAAAACAGGCTGATCTCCAACATCTAGAAACAAAGGTGTTGATGGCAGCAGCACAGCTGATATTTCTCTCCATCTGGCCTATCCTGGGCAATCTCAGAAGCCAGTTAAACGGACTCTTAGGGTTTTATTATTTTCTTTCAAAACTAGTCACTCAATCTACCATGTGTTTATTTTCTAATAACTCCAGTTCTAGTTAATCGTTTATTCATTGTCTGCAGGATATCATTTTGCACAACACGTTTCCACCGCACAGCTAGAGCAGCAGAGATGCTTCAGCTGCGTGTCAGAACTTAACTTGTACAAGCATTAAAGATGAAGCAGAAAGCGAGTTTTTGCCACTTCTACTTCATGCGGTCTGAATGTAGCATAAGAAGTCATCACTCATACAAAGCAGTTGGCTGTTGGACACATTGACTGTGTTATGCCATATGCCATAATGATACTTTTCTTGACTTTTGGCTTTTCAGCCAAAGCAGTCACAGGCAAGTCACATGGAAGCCACCAGAGGTGTGAAAACCTACCCACCTCTCTGTGAGGACAGAACAAAACCACCGAGCACACAAGACTCTGCCCTTCCTTTTTCCCTTTTGCTCTCTTTTGCCTCCTGCTCTCCTTGCCTCCTCTCCCTTGCCCAGGAAGCTGGGGTCCGCTTTGGCTGGTTTTCCACTACAGTGGAGATGCGGGCCCCAGGGGAACCAGATCCCCAGAACCATCAAGGATAAGTCAGAACCTTTCAGAACCAAACTGCTGCAAACAGACCTTTTGCAACACATTTCTCTTGAGTTTCAGAACTTGTAGAGCCAAACTGGATGAGAAAAGGACTGCCTTGATGAACGACTGAGACAAAGAACGCCTGCCTTACTATCCTGACTGCAGAGCTGCAAATGGATGATACTCAAGCTTTCCAAATGGACATGGAAAAAGGTTTGCAGGTCTGGCATGATTAGGGACAGAACAAGCAATGTGTCTTTTGATGATGCTAATCATATCGTGTGTTTACTGCTGAGTAAAGACGATGCTAATTGATGCTAAAGAATGGACTGCATGCTACGCTATGCTACAGGAATATGTGTTGAGCTGTTGCTAAAGCTTAGACAAGCTTTATTCACTAAGGATTTAAACACTGATATAACATTAGTGTTCATGTGTTCCTGAGATGCTCATTACATTTCCATGACCAAGTATGACCAAGAGTCATTTAGTGGAATCCTGATGTCTATTCGCTGCTAGCTATTTCAAAGAGGGTAAAGAATCATTTAGCTAAAGGTTTTTGGTTCTTGATTAAGCAAATGATTCAATAAAACATTATTTGGCCAAATAATGTTTTATTCACCTCATGGATTTGCATTGTGAATTGGTCTGAAAACATTCCAATTTCTTTAAAATTTGTGAAAAGCTAATTTGATCATATCCCACATTATTCCATTTAAACTTTGGTTTCAAACACAAAATCCATCTTAAACTTTAATATGGTTTTTTACCATGTTCTCTTTCCTCTTTGTACATAGTAGTTTAGTTTAGTTGAGTTTTACTAGTCTTAGTTGAGAGTGTTAAACTGAAATATGTTTGACTTGGACCTGAATGATATTTGTTAATAAACTCTTATATTTTGAACAGAAGTTGTGGTGAATTTATTCCATGTATGTGCACAATTAACTGTTTGACCATGATTAGTGCTCGAATCACTCTTTCATCTATTGTTCTAACACACAGTTAGCAGGAATGTGTGTCATAAACAATATATAACAGCTGAAATAATATCTGATTAATAAAATATTTTACCCCCCCTACAGGGGAGGGCAATAAACATCTTAAAGTATCAGAAATATAAATTCCCAGCTGGCTGGGAATTAAATAGAATATAAAACAGCTGATTAGCTGACAGTCCAACAGTTGCAGCTCTATTAAGTCCAATTGACAACCAACTAAAATTGTTTTGAATATAGGGACCTTAAAGGTCTCAAGTTCAGGTAATGGTGTAAAAAATTAAAATCCTAATATCCATAAAACTAAAAGGAAAATATTCAACATACACAATTGGATTTTCTATTCAACTCAATACTCTTGAGTTAATGAATTAAAATAATTTTATGTCAATTAGTTTACTCAAATCACTTCAGTTCAACATAATCAAGTTTTACAGTGAACCAAAGTTGGAAAAACTTCCATTTCCCCTTGATTAAGGCACAGAATGACTCTAAGCTTTAATATATCAGGCGGTTCCAGCACAGCACATTGTGGAAAGCAGAACAGAGCAAGTTTATCAATGTCAGCTCAGCTCCTGCTGTGTGTGGCGGAGTAATGTCTGCAGTTCAATGCAGTGAGGAACGCTCTGATAGTAATATTGGAGAAACCACACAACCAGACGCATGGCTCCAAACAGAAGAGCTACCTCCTCCAGACAGGACTCTGCTATCCACTAGCACCTTAAGGAAAACAGACACTTATTGGAGCACCAGAATGTTCACATTTTAGACAAAGGAGACAGGTGGTTTGAGAGGGGAGTGAAGGATGTAATCCCTCACAGGGATTACATCCGAGTCACTGAGTCATTTCAATCAGCTGGCTTTCCTTAGATAAAAAAACCTGGAATCAATCTGACTGGATGATCTGGTGAACTGGAAAGTGCCTTGAGATGACACGTGCTGTGAATTGGCGCTATAGAAATAAACTGAAAAAATAAATGAATAAAATCCATTAAATCTGTTATAGTCTTTGGAGAAGAAGCTGATAAAACTGAGTTCAGATAATAAAGTAAAACATCTTGGTGTTGTTTTTGATCAGGAACTGTCATTTAAATCCCATATCAAACCGGTTTCTAGAATTTCATTTCCAGCATCCAATATAACTAAAGATCCTGAACTGAGCAACGGCATCAAATCCACCATTTAGAACTTTGACTTGATATAAATATTTGCAAAGTGAAAATATGGAATAACATTTTGATTAAAAGTGTTTTCCTTTTGTGATGTAAATATCTGAGGTTTACCTGGTTATTACACAGGTTTTATGTTATTAGCGCCTCCTGCTGGGCTGAAGGTGTAGTGCAGTTCCTCTCAGGCTGATTGTCTCTGAGTTTACCGCGTTATGGGATGAATTACCCAGGATTCCTAGCACCTCGATAAAACTAATCCTCTTGCTTTCGGAGGGAAAGAAGCCTAAGCCTTTAGCTTGGATGTTAGATCCAGTTCCAACCAGGTTACTTAAGGAGGTATTCCCTTTGATCTCCTCCTCCATTTTAGATGTGATTAATCTATCTCTGTTACAGGGATATGTACCTAAAGCTTTTAAGGTTGCTGGAATTAAACCTTTAGTTTAGAAACCGTCTCTGCATCTGATCCCTGTTTTCTATAATAGTGGAAACAATGATGGGTTAGAGACATTAGATGGAGGTGATGGAAAAAGGAAAACAGCAGGACTGATTGTTTTAAAGACATTTATAGAGCTGATAGAAACGACTGAATACACAACTTTAGAAAAACACGCTTATAAGAGCAGCATAAATAGTAAAAATACAGAATATAGATCCATACAAAGAGATTGGTCCTCCTTCAGCGGCAGAGTGAGCTGAATGTGGAGCAGACACCATGGCTGAACATTAAACTCATCAGCTCCATGCTAACACTGTGATGGACCGGCTCTCCTTGCTCAGCGTCGCTCCTTGGCTTGATCCAAACGGGGGACTGGGAATCAATATAGATCTACAGTTAATGAAGCATCCCGTGTTCATGTCCCAGGGGGGTGACCTTTGACCTCACCCTGACAACTAAGCCAGCTGTTCAGACTGGAAATGATGGGTTTGGAGTTTAGGGGCAAAAACTTGGTGTTTTTACAAACAATCAAACAGAAAGAAATGATGCAGACCCATCAGACCTGTTAGATCATCAGACTTGTCAGACCTGTTAGATCCATCAGACCTGTTAGATCATCAGACTTGTCAGACCTGTTAGATCCATCAGACCTGTTAGATCATCAGACTTGTCAGACCTGTTAGATCCATCAGACCTGTTAGATCCATCAGACCTGTTAGATCATCAGACCTGTTAGATCCATCAGACCTGTTAGATCATCAGACCTGTTAGATCATCAGACCTGTTAGATCATCAGACTTGTCAGACCTGTTAGATCCATCAGACCTGTTAGATCCATCAGACCTGTCAGATCCATCAGACCTGTTAGATCATCAGACCTGTCAGACCTGTTAGATCCATCAGACCTGTTAGACCCATTAGACCTGTTAGACCTGTCAGACCTGTTAGATCCATCAGACCTGTCAGATCCATCAGACCTGTTGGAACTGTTAGATCATCAGACCTGTTAGATCCGTCAGACCTGTCAGATCCGTCAGACCTGTCAGACCTGTTAGATCCATCAGACCTGTTAGATCATCAGACCTGTTAGAACTGTTAGATCATCAGACCTGTTAGATCATCAGACCTGTTAGAACTGTTAGATCCATCAGACCTGTTAGATCATCAGACCTGTTAGAACTGTTAGATCATCAGACCTGTTAGAACTGTTAGATCCATCAGACCTGTTAGATCATCAGACCTGTTAGAACTGTTAGATCATCAGACCTGTTAGATCATCAGACCTGTTAGAACTGTTAGATCCATCAGACCTGTTAGATCATCAGACCTGTTAGAACTGTTAGATCATCAGACCTGTTAGAACTGTTAGATCCATCAGACCTGTTAGATCATCAGACCTGTTAGAACTGTTAGATCCATCAGACCTGTTAGATCATCAGACCTGTTAGAACTGTTAGATCATCAGACCTGTTAGATCATCAGACCTGTTAGAACTGTTAGATCCATCAGACCTGTTAGATCATCAGACCTGTTAGAACTGTTAGATCATCAGACCTGTTAGAACTGTTAGATCCATCAGACCTGTTAGATCATCAGACCTGTTAGAACTGTTAGATCATCAGACCTGTTAGATCCGTCAGACCTGTCAGATCCGTCAGACCTGTCAGACCTGTTAGATCCATCAGACCTGTTAGATCATCAGACCTGTTAGAACTGTTAGATCATCAGACCTGTTAGAACTGTTAGATCATCAGACCTATTAGATCCGTCAGACCTGTCAGACCTGTCAGATCCATATCAGAGGTTCTGCTTTTATCAAACGCTATGATGGAGGTGGAACCACGGGTGTCATCTGCGTGTTGTGGATCTATGTTTCCAATGATGAAGGCGCTTTGTTTAGGGTGAGGTCTAAAGAAAGGCTCTGATTGGTCGGTGATTTTATGACCATTGCTGGTTTTTGCTGAATCATTCCAAGCAGCTTTGTTTGGCATCCTAAGAATGCTGCAGCTGGATCAGAACCAGCCGGTGTCGGGTGGACCAGGATCTGGACTTCAGTCTAGGAACATCTCCTGATGTTCATGGCGGTTTGTGGATCGGTCATGGAATCTGCAGCTCCTCCTCTTCGTCATCGATGTCATTCCTCGGCCCATCCGCGTTTTCCGTCCCGAAGCGAGCGGATCGGATCTTTCCAAACAGACTGGGACTCTGCTGCTGCCGCCTCAGCCTGGAGAAGCAGAAACCCGTTCACTGAGCAGCTCTGATGGAACGTTTCTCAGAGGATCTAAAGAACCGTTCAGATGTAAATGGAACTGTTCCTTTAACAGAACAAGTCCAATCAGGACCACATGTCCACTGCCTGGATCAGAACCACGGCCTGTAAACCAGGCCCAGCTGGTCCTCGTGGTGAAGATTTTTTATTTTATTGATGATAAATATACAATGGGTTGGTGTGGTGGGGGGTCATATACAATGGGTTGGTGTGGTGGTGGTGGTGGGGGGTCATATACAATGGGTTGGTGTGGTGGTGGTGGTGGGGGGTCATATACAATGGGTGTGGTGTGATGGGGGGATCACCTTGACTGCAGGTGTTCCAGTTGGACCTGCAGGTTCTCCGTCTGCTCCACCTGCTCATCCAGAGATCGCTGCAGCTTCCTGCTCTGGTTATGAGACTCATCCAGCTGGACACAAAAACATCAGTCGGTTATTAGCTACTCGTACCGACCCCCACCCCTCCCCTCCCCTCTTCTGGTGGACCTTCTGCTATCAGTTGCTTCTACAGAACCACTGCGGTTTCCCATATATGGTTATAGCCGCTGTGCTTCCTGTCCTCGGCTTGGCAGACATGAGTTGATTGTGAATCTACAGCCTGTTGAAGCTTAGGTTACCTATACTTAAGTAAATTAAAATAATGTGCTGATAGGAAACTAAAACAGCCTTCATTTATTTAGATGAAACCCAAATTGTATTTTATTGTTATTATTGTAATTGTAAAAGTATTGTAATTGTAGTTAGGGGTGTAAATAATAATCGTTTTGTATCGATGCATCGATACGTCCGTAAGACTATCGATTCATGTTTTTCTTTTCCTCCGGTCTATTTTTATCCATTTGCCCCTGGAGATAATTCTGACTCCCGCGCTGCAGTGGCCCTATTTTACCCCCCCGGCCTCACCTCCTTTAGCCACTACTCTCTTTCCACTTGCACACGCACACACACACACTTGCGTAAACAGTAGCCGCGACAGACACAGCGGATCTGGAGTATTGAAAATAATCAAAACGTTGGGTCAAGAAATTGATACTGAGTCAAATCGCCATGATGGGTGTGATTTACACCCTTGATTGTAGTCCCCTCTGCCATTAGACTGCTAAATGTTATATAAAATGGGTTATAAAATAAATAAAGAAAAACACCCTGAAATGTTGGAACTGTAACTATTGCTTTGGATCCCTGATTAATGATACATCATCAGGGGGACGGTTGATTGTTTATTTCATGATTCTATGGTGTTGAAAGAAACGTTTTTCTTATATTTTAATATCCTGGTCATGAACAGACATTAATCGGTTTGTTTAAAGGTGATGTCACCTTTTCAGGGTTAGGATTATCATAATTGGTGATGTGTGAACCTGTTAAACCCTAATAAAACCTCCTGCTGTGTGTCTGAACTAATGTTTCCTCAGTAGTTTATCAAAGTAGGACAGTTCCTACGTCCAGAGGTACAATTATAAACTTCATTCCCATGTTGCAAAAATTTGGGAATGGAATTCGAACTCAGCAAACAGCATGGATAGAAGGTTTAATTGGCTTTAAAAACGAAAGTTACGTATGTAACTACGGTTCTATGAATCCCGGATGACCGCCAGAGGGCGGTGCTGAAAGCACTGAATGTTCCCTTCGGGCATGCGCAGTTCGAGTAATTATACCAACAGAGTCACACCTGTGACACCGGATGACCACTCAGAAGCTATATAGCCTGGTGTCATCCTTTGCTCTGCTCCTACAGAATCTTCTCGCAAAAGCAAGGATTCTGAGTGACAGAGAAGCTCTGGCGGTCATCCGGGATTCATAGAACCGTAGTTACATACGTAACTTTCGTTCTATTTCATCCCTACTGACCGCCAGAGGGCGGTGCTGAAAGCACTGAATGACTAATGCCAACGATGTCACAAGGAATCCTGAGCACATACCTCACAGAGGAGGCCCAGCAGAACCTTGTAAAAGGACCTGACCCAGGGGATGAGGGGCAGCCACATTGACACTGTAGAACCTGGTGAAGGTGGTTGGGGAAGCCCATGAAGCAGCAGCACATCTAGCTTCCAGCGGAACCCCTCTCAAAGCAGCCCAGGAAGCGGTGACGCTCCTGGTGGAATGTGCTCTCACACCGACTGGCAGGGAGCAGTGACCTGCAGCGTAGGCGTGGCAGATGACACTCACAATCCAATGGGACAGACGCTGTTTAGAAAGAGGACAGCCTAACCTTGGACCCCCATAGCATAGGAAAAGCTGGTCCGAGCGTCTCAGATTGGCGGTGGCTGCAATGTATGCCTCCAACGCTCTTACTGGGCACAACTCAGACTCATTCTCAGTTGTACCAGATTGAGGCTGAAACCGAGCCAGCCGCAATGGCTGGTTACGGTGAAAAGGAGACAACACCTTAGGCAAAAACGCAGTATTAGGCCACAGGGTAACACCAGAGCCATCTGGATTCCACCTGATACACCTAGGGCTGACAGAAAGAGCATGCAGCTCGCTGACCCTCTTAGCTGAGACGATAGCCATCAGGAAAGCAGTCTTGCAGGAAAGCCACTTGAGTTCTGCTTGTGCCAAAGGCTCGAATGGAGGGTGGCACAGAGCTTTGAGAACCAACGGCAGATCCCAATCTGGGGCTCGTGGGGCTGGCTGCTGGCACAACCTACGAGCACCACGTAGAAAAAGTGAAACCAGTTCATGGCGCCCCACTGTACGGTTGTCAACAGTTCGGTGAAGACATGAAATTGCTGCAATATACACTTTAAGGGTCGAACGAGAGCGGCCCTTATCAAGGAGAGACTGGAGGAACTCCAAAATAGTGGGCACCGAGCAGGAAACTGGGTTCTCATTGTGGGCAGAGCACCACTGAGAAAAGAGGCGCCATCTGTTAGCATACTGCAGCCGAGTGGAGGAAGCCCTAGCACTCAATATGGTGTGTCTCACGGTGTCTGAACACCCAGTCAGCCTCCCAGGGGCCATGCCCACAGCTGGAGACGTTGAGGGTTGGGGTGCCATATCTGTCCCCCCAACTGAGACAGCAGATCCCTCCTTGCTGGAAGACGCCATGGAGTACCGTGACACAGACTCCAAAGCAGCGGGAACCACGGCCGCGCTGGCCAGAACGGAGCTACCAGCAACACTCTGTGGCCCTGCTCGAGAACCCTCCGTAGAGTCGGCCAAATCAGTGAGAGGGGTGGAAAGGCATACAGGAGAACCTGCGGCCATGGATGAGCCAGTGCATCCTGGCCCAGTGCGCCCGCCATCCCGGTTAGGGAATACCATAGGGGGCAATGGGTCGACTCCTCTGTGGCGAACAGATCTACCTCTGCCTGCCCAAAGAGGTTCCAGATTATGCGCACTATGTCGCGGTGAAGAGACCACTCTCCCGGAGCAGGTGCCTGGCGGGATAGAGAGTCCGCAACCTGGTTCTGCCGTCCTGGCAGATACGCTGCGCGCAGGGTACACAGACGGGGAAACGCCCATTCCAGGAGATCCCTCGACACCTTCAAGAGACGTGCTGACCTGGTGCCACCTTGGTGGTTTATATGATAAACAACAGAGGTGTTGTCTGTCCGAATTCAATTCAATTCAATTCAGTTTATTTATATAGCGCCAAATTCACAACACATGTCATCTCAAGGCACTTTACAGTTCAACCACCGAATCAGCACGTGCCTTCCCTCTAGGTGGGGCAGAAGGCACCTGAGGGCCATGTGCACAGCCCGCAGCTCCAGCACATTTATGTGTTCGGTGCGCTCCCTTGGGTCCCAGAGACCCCGAACAGCTCTGTGTTGCCACACGGCACCCCAGCCCATGAGGCTGGCATCCGTGGTGACCACCTCCCTTCGACACACTACTAGCCCCATTGGAACACCACTGGACAAAAGGGTCCCGTCTCGCCAAGGAGCTAGGGCATGGAGGCAGCTCCTGGTCACCATTAGCCTGCGATGCCTGTGCAGCCTGGCGTCTAGGCGAAAGCTGTTGAGCCATCGCTGCAAAGGACGCAGAAGGAGCAGCCCTAAGGGCACGACACGAGTGACTGATGTCAGTTTTCCCAGCATTCGCAGGATGATGATGTAGGGAAACTCCCTGCCCAGTCTGAATCGACGGACAAGCTGGAGTATGTCGTCCACCCTGTGAACAGATGGACGGGCCATCATGGTAGCAGAGTCCAGATGCATCCCAAGAAAGGTGGTTGTCTGAGATGGAACAAGACAACTCTTTGCCAAGTTGACTTTGAGGCCTAACAATGACACATGAAGTAGAAGCTGGGACGTATCCCGAGAGCCAGCTACCTGAGAGGGAGCACAAAGAAGCCAATCGTCCAGGTATGGCAGAATCCTGACTCCGGAGGCCTGTAGAGGAGAGAGGGCTGCTTTCACGCATCGAGTAAACACCCTCGGGGAAAGGGAGAGCCCGAATGGGAGCACCCGGAATTGCCAATGACGCCCCCGATAGGCAAACCTGAGAAAACGGCGATGTTCTGCCGCAATAGGCACGTGAAAGTAGGCGTCTGTCAGATCTACTGATGTAAACCAATCTCCCGCCACAATGGTCTGAAGGACCTCTGTTATGGTGAGAATGTGGAAGGGAAGGACCTTCAGGTACCGATTCAGTCCCCTTAGATCTAAAATGGGGCGAAAACCGCCGGTCTTCTTGGCCACAAGGAAGTATGTGGAGTAGTAGCCTCTGGGTTGCCGCAGAGGATCTACAGACTCGATTGCCCCCTTGCCCAGGAGGGCGGAAAGCTTCTGGTCTAGTGCCTGAGATTTCACCGGGTCTGTGATGACAGTCATCTTGACCCGGTGTGAGAGGGGGGGCCGCCTTCGGAACTGGAGCCTGTAGCCATTGGTTAAGGTGGCAACCACCCATGGATCTACGGCATGAGCAGCCCAGAAATTCAGCTGCTGATGGGAAAAATGTCCGACGGCTGGCCCGGTGGCATCATCTTCTATCCCCACGGCCCCTGGGGGCTCTGGGGGGAGGGCGTCCAGGATTTGAGGCCCGGGTCTGTCTAACAGGGCGGCAGACTGGCTCACGAAAGTCCCTCCTCGGTCTCTGCCGCACATCATGGGGATAGGAACCAATAGGTCTGCCACCAGTCTGAGGTCGTGGCTGAACGCTGGGGGTAGTGGCAGGGCGGCCCGAACGCTGGGGAAAGGCAGGTATGCTCCTGCGAAGGCCGGAAAGCTGCTGGCTAGTCTGACGTGCCTGAGCAGTCCGTTCCAGCGCCTCCAAGGCAGCTGATCCAAACAGCTCCCCTGGTACAACCGGGACACCCCTGAGGGTCCTACGGCATGCTTCAGTCAGAGGAGATTGTGCCAACCAGACCTGTCTACGAGCTTGGACAAGGAAAGACATGACCCGTCCAAGCTCTCTGGTCATCAGCGCGAAGGCCTGCAGCGCTGCGTCACTATAACCAACCGCCGCACTTGCACCACCAGTGTCCTGAACAGATGCAGAGAGGGCAAACATGAGGTGCGCCAGAGAATTGCCAAGGCGGCCAGCACGCGCTCCTGCATTGTATGCCTTACAGAGGAGGTCATCTGTAACCCGACATTGAGTCCGCGGGCACCGGACATCAGGACGCAGGGCTTCATCTGGTGACACAATCAGTGAAGCAACAGCTGGTTCAATTGCTGGCATACGGTCCAGGCCGGCCTTCACCGACTCATGCATGGCAGCTAATACACGACCATCCGATGAGAGACGCGACAGCGCTCTCGGTTCCCGCCAACAGGCGTGTAACTCCTTCAAGTACTCCTCTGATGGAGGTACAGAAAAAGGAGTAGGAGCCCTTCCACGTCTGAAAAAGGCACTGCCGGAGCTGGATGCCTCTCCTTGTGGGAGTTCCAGCTGCAGCTGCTTCAGGGCCATAGACATGACCTCCCGCATGGAACCGTCACCGGCCTCTCCAACCGCACTCTGAGATGAAAATGAACCAGCCTCAGAGGCTTGAGAGGACCCTGCCTCCTCCTCATCTCTAAAATGAGAAGCGGAAGCAGCCAGAGAGATAACGTCATCCTCTACAACCAGCTCGGGCATTGGTGGGGAAGAGAGCCCAACCACTGGGAGCGAGGGATCAGATTGCCGTGTCTGCAACAAGGACTTCATCTCTGCCAGCTCTGCTGACAACTGCTCCACCCTTGTGGACAGGCCCTGGTCAGGTTTGGCCCGCTTCCTCCGGGGGAGGGGCACAGATGATGTGGTCCCACCACGGCGCTTAGAACGCTTGAGGGGGAACCACCTGCCCAGAGGGCGGAAGGTCCGAGCCCTCCTGGGGGCACAACTGGGCCAACCGGGCCACCCTCACTGCATGGGGCATAAAGCTGCAGTTCATACAGGGGTTCTCAGACAGCGCCTCCAAAAGGTGCTCATGTCCAATGCAGGTAGGGCACAGGTCGTTGCCATCCTCTGCCTGCAGGGCAGCCCCACAATCCATGCAGCTGTGAGAGCCATCCATGTCGAAGGCCGACAAGGCTTAAAGAACAGAAAGTTATCGAAAATCGGGAGAGGGGGCGCAAACGCAGCCGTCACCAATTACAGCAGAGAAACGAAAGAGGCTGCGAGCACAAGGCAGCCGATACTGGGAGAGGGGGCGAGAACCGCTACCGTCACCAGGTATAAAACCAATAAACCAAAAAAGCCAACAACGTTAGCTGTATGGAAACTTAAGTTGGGAGTAGGAGCGAACAACGCTGCCCTCACCAATTAAGAGAGCAGACCAGCGAAAAGGCTGCAAAAAGGTTGATTTTGGGAGAGGGGGCGAAAACGCTGCCGTCACCATTCATAACTAAGCAGGACCGATGAAGAAGGCTGCAAACAAACCAAAAAAGGCTAACAACGTTAGCCGTCTCCAACTTCGGCAAACGAAGTAGACCACACTTGGTTGGGAGAGGGGGCGAAAACCGCGGCCGTCAGTAATTATAGCAGCGCAGACCGGTGAAAAAAAGGATGCAAAAGTAGGGAATATACTGGGAAAGGGGGCGAAAACCGCTGCCGTCACCAGGTATAACACCAACAAACTAAAGAAGCTAACTACGTTAGCCGTATATAACTTCGGCAGTGAAGTTATTCACACTGGGAGTAGGGGCGAAAACGCTGCCGTCACCAGTTCGAAACAAAACAGCACGAAGCTGTAGGTAAAAAGCTAAAGTCGTGAGCCGGGAGAGGGGGCGCGGACGCTACCATCACCAGCAAACAACTCACTTACCTTCCGTATTCCTCAGAATCGACCCGTTGCAGCCCTGGGAGAGCGGAGAATAACCGCAACTCCGGTCAAGATACAGGGGCTTCAGACAACGGGGAAGTTAGCGAACCGCTTGCGAGAAGAAAAAAGGAGCAGAGCAAAGGATGACACCAGGCTATATAGCTTCTGAGTGGTCATCCGGTGTCACAGGTGTGACTCTGTTGGTATAATTACTCGAACTGCGCATGCCCGAAGGGAACATTCAGTGCTTTCAGCACCGCCCTCTGGCGGTCAGTAGGGATGAAATAGAACTTGTCATCTTGGTCTCGTTTAAAGGCAGTCAGTGAGCAGCTAGCGCCGCCATCTGGTGAGGAGTGGAGCAGCTTCATCAGGCTGTAGATTCACACTCAGACCGTTTTAGTTCAGGTTTGTGTTGCTGTCAAGCCTAAACTCTTATTCCTTCAGAAAAAAAGCCTCTGATTAAAAAATAAAACACATTTATTGTTTTGCATCCATAACTTCAGACCCTGTGACGGTTTTTAGCTCCATCATCCCTCCTACTCCTCTAAAACCTGAGCCATAGGTGGAGCTCCGTCCCTACCTCATCCTCTGCTTGTCCCAGTTCTTTCTTAAGCTCCTCCACCCTCAGACGGAGCTTCTTGACCTCGGCGTCGTGGCTCTCCACCCTCCGGTTGGCGTGGGCCAGCTCTGCCATCTTCTCCTGGAGCTGCTTCTTGAGCTTTGCGTGAATGTGGCGAAGATCTGCCAGCTCCTGCAAGAAGAGACACGATTAGAAAAGCTGCAGTCAGAGTTCTGATGAATATGAAAAAGAGAGATCATATCTCTCCTATCCTGGCTTCTCTTCATTGGCTTCCTGTTAAATCCAGAACAGAATTTAAAATCCTCCTTCTCACATATAAAGCCTTAAATGGCCAAGCTCCATCTGATATCAGAGATCTGATTGTTCCTTATGTTCCTAACAGAGCACTTCGCTCTCAATCTGCAGGTTTACTAGTGGTTCCTAGAATTTCTAAAAGTAGAATAGGAGGCAGATCTTTTAGTTATCAGGCTCCTCTCCTGTGGAACCAACTACCAGTTTTAGTCTGTGAGGCAGACACACTGTCAACTTTTAAGGCTAGGCTTAAAACTTTCCTTTTTGATAAAGCTTCTAGTTAGAGTGGCTCAGGTTATCCTGAGCTATCTCTATAGTTATGCTGCTATAGGCTTAGACTACTGGAGGACATAGGGACCCGTTTTTCATCATTCTGCTTCATTCTATCTCTATTCTCCCACTCTGCAGAATCTGTTAGTTCAATCTCTAACGTTCTGCTCTCTCTGCTTTTTCTCATAGTAGCTTCATCTGGTCTGTTCCTGTTTGGCTGTGACTCCATCCTGTAGAGAAATATCAGCTGTGCTGCTGCCATCAACACCTTTGTTTCTATATGTTGGAGCTTGAATGGTGAACATAAAGCTGCCACAATCAGACTCCAACTGTTTACACTGTTAAATACTAGTGGTCCACCCGTGGAACAGTCACCTGTGGACCTCTGGACCTATCACCCATGGACTTGTCCACTCTGGACCTATCACCCGTGGACCTTTCCACTCTAGACCAATAACCCGTGGACCTGTCCATTCTGGACCTATCACCCATGGACCTCTGGACCTGTCTCTAAGCCCTCATGGGGAATCTGAGAAGCACCATGAAGGTCTCCAGGATCTTCCTGTTGGCACCAAAGCAATGAAAGCAAATGAAGTGGAAGCCGTTGCTTTGGGGAACCGTGGTACCCACCTTGTTCCTCTCGAACAGCTCGCTCTGGATGGCCTTCAGGTCCGAGTCCAGTGCCGAGGCGGCCTGACGGCGTTTCTTCGCCAACTGCTCCTCCAGGTCTTCCACATGAGCTCGCAGTTTTTTGTTGTCCCTCTCCAGGGCCAGCTTGTCCGTCTCCAGGCGTTCCCTGCGCCCCCACTCGGCAGCGTTCTCCACCTGTAGCCTCTCCATCTGACAGAGAGATCCCAGACATTAGACACGGCCTTCCGTTTTAGTCTCAGACACAAGGGACACGGCAGATTGAGCCATGAACACTAGGAGCAGCCCAACAGACCCGACAGGAGGACCTGTCAGGTAACCACTTTTCCAAAGTTCCAGGTCTCCAATTGTCAGCCCACCATTGTAAATAAGAACTTGTTCTTAATGACCTGCCTTAAAATGCAGGTATAATAAAGATCAGGGTGGTGTCCAGATGGACCAGAGGAAACAGAGACCTGCTTAGCAATCAGCAGGCCGTCATGGCGGAGACTCATTCAGGAGCTAGGGGTATTTGATACATCCTGATGAACGACAGCTTTAGGTTCTGTTGAAATCTAGACTCTCTGAAACATTATTTCCTGCATTTTGCGGTGAAATGCAGATAACAATTTGTCTTTTTTCCAACACTACTTCTGTCCAGATTATGGGAAGTATGTATGTTTGACTAGAGGTGAAAAATTCATAAGGAGGACAACAGATTATTTTTCACTACAATATTATGTTTCATAGGTTAATTCAAACAATAAGAAAGTGGAACTTAAACTCACTGCTAAAGGTGAAATTTAACTGTTTCATATAAAACAAATTGACAAACTGAAAAACAGCAGAGGAGAAAGTGCAATTCCTAATATTTTTTGTGAAGGGGGAACAGTGTACGCCTGAACTTATTGCCAGCTAAAAGCCTGACAAGTGGGTAAAGGATCCTTTTCACAATACAGTTCTTGAATTAAGTCTGAGAGGAAACCCCGGTAAATTCATTATTTCATCTAAGTTAATTTCCATTTTACTTGATTGATCATTTTTTACGGGAATGAGAGCTTTGATTTTCTGCCAATGACCCTAGAATCATTTTAAATCTAAACCTGCGGAAGGAATGGTGGTGAATAATCCTCAGATGGGTCCATGAAGGTGGAGCGGGCATCAAAGCTGAACCCAGAGGATCAGTTCAGCCTGTTTTCAGCTAAATGAACATCAGTTGGACTCACAGTTTTCACTTTAACCTCACTCAGTCAGGATGCATACTGTGGAAGAGGTGGTGTGGTACAGAAAAGAACCGGGATCCAGTCCATGGTTCAGAGCCAGGCCTTACCTCAGCTCGCAACTCGGCCAGTTTCTTGTCCATGCTGGTCCGCGCTCCCAGTTCATCCTCCAGGTCTTCAGAGATGCGACCCATTTCATCCTGATGGATTTCCTTCAGCAGGTTGAGCTGAGTGGAGACAGACAGACAGACAACGGAAATGTTCGGATCAGAAGAGGCCAAGAAATGAAGTAGATTGTTCTGCAGCAGCCTCCAAGGTTCACACAGCTTCCTCAGCTTATTGTACTCCTCCATCCTGTCATCCTTTACCTCTGACCACCAGCTTCTCTCCCATCTGTGGACCTGGAGCGCCTCCTGGTGGACTAAACAGTAATGGTTCATGGTACAGGTCTAACCCAGGGCTGTGTCACCACCCCATCCATCTCATCAGCTCATCATCAATCAGATATATGTGGAATCATATTTGTCCTTGGCCTATTTGTGAGATAAAATGTTTTGAGTGTAATGATAGAGACATCCTGTACCGTTCACTATGCTGTACTGCTGAGGGGGACAGAAAGCAGACGCCTCCCTACTCTAGACAAGGAGAAGGGAAGGTGATGAGAGATAATGAGTTCACAAAGCCTCCTTCATGCTGTGGTTAAAATGTATGTCCTTGATGAACTGAAGACTAAATGTTCGTGTGTGAGAATTCTCTTTATAAGCAGGGGTGGGCATCTACCTCGCCAGAGCCACACTGACACTTCAACTGTTTGTGTTGTTCTCCTCTGCAGAGTAAAATAAAACTTTTTCTTCCTTTTTCTTCTTTTTAATACACATATACATCCTGGTCGCCCCTGATTTTATTTTCGTAAAAAAGATCTAAATTATGTTTTTCCCGCCCTATAAACAGTAAGCGTACTAAAATATGTGTTCAAGGTTAATTACCGGTATGTATTTCCTGATCAAATAAATGCCTTAAAATCCTGTTTTTCACTCAGCTGTGGCCGATCTGTGTTGCTGTTCTGTCAGATCAGCATACCCCGTCAGATCAGCATACCTATATTCAATATGCATGACATTGAATGATGCATGAGATTTGCGTTTATCCCTTTAGTTTTGTACATAAAAATAGACTTTAAACTACCTGGATGGACGTGTCTCCCTTTAATCATGTACAAAAAAAAAATAAATAAAAATTTGACTATAGGGATACATGCCTGTTGAGGTAGTGATAAGTCTATTTTTCATACAAAACTAAAGGAGTAAACAGGGATTGACTATGCTGGGATGTTATGTTCTTTTCTATTTATATTTCTGATACTTTAAGATGTTTATTACCCTCCTCGGTAGGGGGGGGGTAAAATATCTTATTTAATCAGATATTATTTCAGCTGTTATATATTGTTTATGACACACAGTCCTACTGACTGTGTGTTAGAACAATAGATGAGAGTGATTCGAGCACTAATCATGGTCAAACAGTTAATTCTGCAAATACATGGAATAAATTCACCACAACTTCTGTTCAAAATATAAGAGTTTATTAACAAAAATCATTCAGCTCCAAGTCAAACGTATTTCAGTTTAACACTCTCAACTAAGACTAGTAAAACTCAACTAAACTAAACTAACTACTATGTACAAAGAGGAAGGGGGCCATGGTTGAAAAACATATTACAGTTTAATTTGGATTTTGTGTTTGAAACCAAAGTTTATCTGGAAGAATTTGGGATATGATCAAATTAGCTTTTCACTAATTTAGAGAAATTGGAATGTTTTCAGACCAATTCACAATGCAAATCCATGAGGTGAATAAAACATTATTTGGCCAAATTATGTTTTATTGAATCATTTGCTTAATCAAGAACCAAAAACCTTTAGTAAATGATTCTTTACCCTCTTTGAAATAGCTAGCAGCGAATAGACATCAGGATTCCACTAGATGACTCTTGGTCAGACTTGGTAATGGAAATGTAATGAGCATCTGAGGAACACATGAACACTAATGTTATATCAGTGTTTAAATCCTTAGTGAATAAAGCTTGTCCAAGCTTCAGCAACAGCTCAACACATATTCCTGTAGCATAGCGTAGCATGCAGTCCATTCTTTGGCATCAATTAGCGTTGTCTTTACTCAGCAGTAAACACACGATATGATTAGCATCATCAAAAGACACATTGCTTGTTCTGTCCCTAATCATGCCAGACCTGCAAACCTTTTTCCATGTCCATTTAGAAAGCTTGAGTTTCATCCAGTTGCAGCTCAGAAGTCAGGAAAGAGACCAGGGGTTCTTTGTCTCAGTCGTTCATTAAGGCAGACTTCTCATCCAGTTTGACTCTATACGTTCTGAAACTCAAGAGAAATGTGTTGCAAAAGGTCTGTTTTGCAGCAGTTTGGTTCTGAAAGTTTCTGACTTATCCTTGATGGTTCTGGAGATCCACTGTAGTGGAAAACCAGCCAAAGCGGACCCCAGCTTCCTGGGCAAGGGAGAGGAGGCAAGGAGAGCAGGAGGCAAAAGGGAGCAGGAACAGAAGAAGAAGAGTCTTGTGTGCTCTGTGGTTTTGTCTGTCCTCACACAGAGGGGGGTGGTGGTTGGTCACACCTCTGTGACTTGCCATGTGACTTACCTGTGGAGGCTTTGGCTGAAACGGGGGTTGTTGCAGAGATTTCACAGCTGATTCCACATCATCATGTCAAGATGAAATATGGACACTGCTTCCCAATGTCCAAAAGTATGATCATGGGATATGGCACAACAACTATGGGTATGCTCATCTGACAGAGCTTTTTCCTCTTCCTAGCTCCCTTCTAGACTCCTCTGTCCACAGCTGCTCCCAATCTGCTGATTACCCTGGTCTTTGTTTCTCTCTCCCATATATTCTCCTCCTGTTCAGTCACTCTTTGCTGGTTTGTTGTCATTTCTTTGCACCTTTGTTGTGAGGATTCCTGGTTTTCAGTATTTTTGGGATTTTGTGGATTTATGTTTGCAGATTTTTGTTTCTGTTCCCCTTTTTGTCATTAAATCTTCAAGAAACCACGTCAGGTACAGTCTCTGCATTTGGGTCCTATCAAACCCCCACTTGACAGTATTAGCATTCTTTGTAGAGTTAAGGACGGAAATATGCACTTTCATTAACATAATTTCATTGTTTATGACGACATGGATGAATATCTGCTTGCACATGCGTAAATGAGCCAAAGGTACAGATGGGGTAGTGACAGACTGGTTACACTTCCCTACAGAACTCTGCTAAAGCTAATGAGCGGACCCACATATCTGGGTCTGACCTCAGAACCGAGTCAGAACGGGACAGCAGGACGGCGCTGAACAACTGTTTGACGTCCAATGAGTCCATTTCCACCAGAAACCCCGAAGGTTTTCACTTTTAAACGAAAATTAAAACATTGATGAAACCCCCCCCGATACTTTCATGATTAAAAGGAAACATTTTAGAAAGATTTACTAGAAAAATCCTATAAAACATTTTAGAATAGAGATGTTTGCTAAATTTTAAATGAGATGTTGCCAACATTCAGACCAGAGGCGGGGATTTCCACCACTCTGTACTCCAGATGCAGTGCTTCCATCCAGGACCGCATCACCAATTAGGAGCTTCAGCTGCGTGGAACTGAAACGCCCCTCATGTTTCGTTTAGAAAACATGCAAATTGAAACAGATGAACGGGTCCACCCCCGCGGATGTCTGGGGGACAGTGATTGGCCTAAATGTTCTGAATGCTGTCGTACCATAAAGAATAAATGATGAACAGTTTAGTTTGTGCCTTCAAGTCGTTGCCCATTGGAAGACGTTACTTGGATATAACCTAACGGAATATCTTCAGAACGACTCCAAATGACACTGTGTTCTAAGCCGTTACAAGGCTTTATTGGGCTACTCTATAAAAGCCTGGAAATCAACCCTATTCCTGACATTTTGAATTGAAAAAGCTTCCTGAATGGAAGAAAAACATCTTCAAACTTGGAAACTAAGTCCAGTAGATCGTTTAACTTTTTGGAATGACAATGACCTGGATGACTGAGAATCTCCACCAGCACCATAAAGCTAAGGAGGCAAATGCTGGTCAAGCGTTTCCATGGGAACGATGGTTGAATAAAGGTCAGCGGCTGCAGCATCAGCCAGACTCCTACCTGTTTGAGGGCTTCCTGTTTGCTCTTACTGAGCTCCTCATACTTCAGTTTCCACTGGCTGAGTTCCGCCTCCAGCCTCTCGATGCTCCTGCTCAGCGCCATCTTGTCTCTGAGGACAAAGCAAATGGCGGCCGTTAATCCTCCAGTGTTACTGGGGGAAGTGAATCTGCAGCCTAGCTTCCTTCTCACTCTCTCTCTTTCAGCAGGACTTTCTGGGACTCGTCCAGACGAAGCTGCAGGGCGTTGAGCTTGCTGGAGTCTTCCTCTGCCGGGCTCACGTCCTCCCACAGCTGCCGGTTCCGGTCCTGCCGGCCCAAACACGAGCATGATCGCGACCCGGCTGCACTGATGCCACGACTGTTCCAGGAGTCCTGGCTGTCAGAATCGGCTGTCCCACAATGCAAAACCGATTCCAGCAGCTCTTTGTCCTGATAGAGCAAGAAGCAATAAAATCAGAACATCAATAGCAGAACAGGATCCTTGGAGCACAGATATCCAAGACTTCTTTACCCAGCATTACCAGAATAAAGGACAGAGGAGAAGGCATCAATACAGATCATCTGAAAACAGCATAAATATTCAATTGAAAGGAAAATGCGCTTGCAGAGGAGTGCATGATTCCCTCCCCACCTGACAGAGAGAAAAACAGCCTCCAGGAAGGAAGACAGAGAATTAGTGAGGAGTAAACAGCAGCAACCTAACAGCAAGATGAGAGCAAACAAGGAGGCAGAAAACTCCAGCAGGAAAGTGTTACGTGTTTAACTGAAACATGGCTACAGGATGATATCTACGATTTAAGCGTCTCTCTGCCAGGCTGACAGAGATTTAAAGAAGACAGGGAAAGTCAAAGGAGGTGGTTGGCAGTGTTTGTGAACTACAGATGGTGTCATCCAGGACATGTTACTTGGAAGATTTGTCGCTACAGCCCAGATATTGAACTAGTGGCGAACATATTTTCCCAGTGAGTTCAGCAGTGTTCTGTTAGCAACCATTTATATTCCACATTCTCCTGTTCTGCAGAATTATTTCAATAATCTATTAATTATGATTAATCCGATTAATTGTTTCAGCTCTAATTAGCCACTGAATTGAATAGCTCCTCAATCGGCTAAAACAGTCTCTAACTATAATAATTTTGATAAAGCTTATAGTTAGAGTGGCTCAGGTTATCCTGAGCTATCTCTATAGTTCTGCTGCTATAGGCTTAGACTGCTGGAGGACATAGGGACCACTTTTTCATCATTCTGCTTCATTCTATCTCTATTCTCCCACTCTGCAGAATCTGTTAGTTCAATCTCTAACGTTCTGCTCTCTCTGCTTTTTCTCATAGTAGCTTCATCTGGTCTGTTCCTGTTTGGCTGTGACTCCATCCTGGAGAGAAATATCAGCTGTGCTGCTGCCATCAACACCTTTGTTTCTAGATGTTGGAGCTTGGCCTGTTTTCCAGTGTAGTCCTGTTTCTCTGACTGTGACTAACTGGATGTGCTCTCTTCATCCTCTGGGAGCTGGCTCGGAGCTCGTCTGCCTGGCTGTGTGTTTCCTGGACAGGGCCGCCTGTGGAGCTGGTTGACAGTTGCCTTTTGTATCTATGCTTCTTTTTCTATGTCTGCTTCTGTCTCCTTGAACCCCAGTCGGCCTCAGCAGATAGCCACTCACACTGAGCCTGGTTCTGCTGGAGGTTTCTTTCTGTTCAAAGGGAGTTTTTCCTCTCCACTGTCGCTACAAGCATGCTAAGTGTGAGGGATTGCTGAAGAGTCAATGGCTACGTTTACATGGACACAACTAATCGGATTGAAGGCCTGATCAGATCTAAAATCTTTCATGTAAACATGTCAGACTGAAGATTCTAATCCGATTCGGTCCGATCGGATCTAAATTTAATTCCGAATGAGAGAGGTGGTTTTTGCCGATCGCCATTCCGATTGGCGTCCATGTAAACACCCATTCGGATCTAAAGAGTAAAATAATCTTCACTGCGCATGTGTGCGACGTCAGAGTGACGTTTTCCGCCTTGTCAACAACAGGAAATCACCGGTCTCTCTCGCTGTGAACAACATGGCGGGGGGAGTCTAGGAACGCCGACTTATAAGTTAATTTAAAGCTGCAGGAAGCAGGAATTTATCCTCTTCCTCTTCTTCCTCTCCACAGCCCACTCGCTCTCCCACGCCGGTTCAATCGCTCATTCTCTACATTTTCTCTCGGACATTTCGCTGCCAAGCGCTTTTTTCCTCCTCTCTCCTTTTTTCTTTCCGCTTGCTCCGAGCGCATCGTTTGTCAGGCCTCCCAAAAACCAGACGCAGACAGAACTGCCAAGTTTGGCAGGAAGTTCTGCGCATGCTTAAAAGATTTAATCTGATCCAACGCTTGATACATGTATACACATGCATGATCGGATCATTTCATTTAGTGTCCATGTAAACGGAGATTTTGAATTTCCGATCAACCAAGGTTTGGATCGGATCGGGGAAATTTTGCGCATGTAAACGTAGCTACTGAGTCGATGCAATCAGCTGGTTTTCCTTAGATAGAAAACTTTTAATTTAGCGATTTACTCTTTAAATCTAATATGATCAAAATTGATTGCCTCTGCGATTTGAAAATTTCGTTTAGTTAAATTGCGACTATATGGCAAATACAATTAAGTGGGAGTGTTGGCCTAGTGGTTGGAGCAGGGCACTTATGTTCTAAGAGGGCGGCAAGTACATGGTTTGATCCCCACATCCTCCACTCTGGGTTGCTGAGCAAGACCCTTAACCCCACACTGCTCCCCAGGCGCCGCACAATGGCAGCTCACTGCTCCCCAAGGGGAGGGGTTAAATGCAGAGAGGGAATTTCTCCAATGAGGAGTCAACAATGTTCACACTGGAAAAATCTAAATCTAGATAAGTCATTTTTTCTTAAAATAAGTGCATTTGTTTTTGAGGAGATAAAAAATAAATATTTCCATTGGAACAAGAAAATTTAAACTTAAAATAAGTTAACATAATTGCATTATCTTATTTCAATTGCATAATTATCTTATGAGTAAAACTACTCATTCCATTGGCAAACTATCTCATTTACCTACTCAAATTACAGGTAAATACACTTAATTTAGGAAATTTTTACTTATTTCTAGGTCGTTTTTCCAGTGCAATTATTATTATTATTTATTTCCCTGCCCTATCCCAGGTTACTCACAGCCTGATCTGGGGCTGCTGTCTTTTAGTAAATAAAGGGCTCACATGGCAGCATCAACAGGCAGTGTGATAGATTAACTCTGAAGATTGTCTGATTTCTGCAGGTTAACTTGGGGGACGGTGCTTGGGGACTGGGGCAGTATGGGGATCATGTGAAGACCTCAAGTAAAGCTGGCTGAATTTCTGCAGCCTGCAAACCTCTAATGCTACGTTCACACCAGACGCAGCAAAAGCAGCAAAATCACGTCTGCTGCTTCATTTTTGCTGCTTGTACCAGTTAGTTCTGACGCACGTCTGAAGCAGCTTTGCTGCTCTGGCTGCGCGGTGCAAAAGTGTGTCTGACGCGCGTTGGGCGGAGCTTCACCATCCTTACATATTCTGCCGGCAGATTTCTGCATTTTAAGTTAATTTAGGCATCAATAAACTGTTTAAGAGGAGTGGTCATAGCGCTCTGATCATCAGCGCTGTGTCTCTCTCCCTGCCAGCTCCCAGATAAGCTTTTCTGATTGGTTGACGCGGCGCGTCGAGCAGCAAAAATTAAATTTTTCCATCTCGAGCAGCAGCACGTTTGCGGCGCGTCAGATACTTAAACGCGCCCGATGCGCTGCTTCAGCTGCTCAAAACGCGCCGTGGGACCTTTTGCTGCGCCTTGACGCGCGTCAACCATTGACTTTGCATGTAAACTCGCTGCTTCTGTCGCGCCAGCTGCGTCCGGTGTAAACACAGCATAACTCAGCTCCACAAAAACTGGTGCTCCTCTAGGCTGTAACCACCAGAAGGTGCAGGTGAGAAGCAAACTGCTGTACCACATGCGTGGAAGCACTCTGTATGGACCTGGAAACAAGAACAATGGATAAAGGAAGGAAATGATGCTGGGCTGAGTTTGAGCAACACCTCACTACAGTCGGAAGATGGTGGTGAGGTGTTGCTGCCTGTTTGCTGCTGCAAACACTGACTAAATGATGAAAACACAAACGTATTTCCATCCTTCCACAAACACTGCACCAATAAACTGGGGGTTTGCATAAACACCAACTAAAGGCCTTGCTTTAAACACAGAAACATTGAATCTGACAGGAACAGGATGTTGGAAAACAACCTCAAACAAACTGCTGCTAAAGAACACAAAGACGACGCAAAAAAGAATCTCAGCCAAGAGAAAACAGGTCTGGGATTGAAATGCTTAGGGAGGACCGTGCATCGACTTCCATTCATTTTCATCTTTTATTTACAGCCTTACAGGATACATCTGACCCTAACTCTAAACCTGAATCTGACCCTAAGCCTGACCCTGAATCTAAACATGAATCTGACCCTCAATCTAAACATGAATCTGACCCTAAGCCTGACCCTGAATCTAAACATGAATCTGACCCTGAATCTGACCCTAAATCTAAACCTGTATCTGACCCTGAATTTAACCCTAACTCTAAACCTGAATCTGACCCTAAGCCTGACCCTGAATCTAAACATGAATCTGACCCTAAATCTAAACCTGAATCTGACCCTGAATTTAACCCCAACTCTCAACCTGAATCTGACCCTAAGCCTGATCCTGAATCTAACTATGAATCTGACCCTAAACCTGACCCTGAATCTAAACAAGAATCTGACCCTAAGCCTGACCCTGAATCTAAACATGAATCTGACCCTGAATCTGACCCTAAATCTAAACCTTAATCTGACCCTGAATCTAACCCTAACTCTAAACCTGAATCTGACCCTAAGCCTGATCCTGAATCTAAACATGAATCTGACCCTAAGCCTGACCATGAATCTAAACATGAATCTGACCCTGAATCTGACCCTAAATCTAAACCTGAATCTGACCCTGAATCTAACCCTAACTCTAAACCTGAATCTGACCCTAAGCCTGACCCTAACTCTAAACCTGAATCTGACCCTAAGCCTGAACCTGAATCTAAACATGACCCTGGATCTGACCCTAAGCCTGACCCTGGATCTAAACCTGAATCTGACCCTGGATCTAAACCTGTATCTGACCCTAACTCTAAACCTGAATCTGACCCTAAGCCTGACCCTAAATCTAAACCTGAATTTGGCCCTAAGCCTGACACTGGATCTAAACCTGAATCTGACCCTAAGCCTGACCCTGAATCTGACCCTAAGCCTGACCCTACACAATGGGTAAAACACGGGTCACTTGAAGTTGTTTGGGAACATAGAAGAGCAACAGGAACCTCCAGATGGGTGTTGAGCTCCAAACCCAGTCTGCCGCATCTGCTGTTGAGCAACTTTAATTTTAGACAGTTTCACAGAAAATAAACAGGAGGAAATATTCAACTGAACATAGAAAATGTTAATAGAAGGAAAAACAAACTGGTCTTCTTACCTTCTGCTGACCCATCTTCTGTCCGTCCAGGTCAACGTCCCTCACTGGTTCTGCTTCCGGGGATCCTGGGGACCCCTCCTCTGGCTTAGAGTCAGCTACGACCTTAGAGGAAGCGAGGGAAGATGCAGGGGAGGAGGGGGGCGCAGAGGAGGCACTGTGATGGTGGGGCGACAAAGGGTCGGAGGGCGTCCTCTCAGCAGGGGGAGCTGCTCCGTCTCCCCGGAGGCACAGGGTCTCCTGTCGCAGTGCCTCGTTCTCGGCGGCGAGCTCCTGCCGCTCCCTCCGGACACCGGTGAGCTCCTTGGTCAGGATGTCCAGCCGCTGCCTCAGCTGCCGGATCTCGTCCCGGGCTCGGTTCCGCTCAGCACGGACCTGTCAAAGACCAGCAGTCAGCTGAAGGCCTGATATCCGTCAGGATGGCTTCTACCAACAGGCTGTCTCCACCCACCTTACTCCATTTCTCCCTCCAGTTGGCCGTACAGTCGGACCACCACCTCATGGTCTTCTCCATCTGCGCTGCCCTGGCCCGAGCTTCCTCCAGCTCCCTGAGCCTCAGCTCCTCTCTGGTTTCCCAGTCCCCCCCTGCTGCCTCTCCCAGAGAACCCAGGCCGAGGCCTCCCAGTCCAGGGGACAGCAGCAGCGGGGGGCTGGAGCTGGGCGTTGTGGGGCTGGGAGTGTGAGCCAGGCTGTCCGGAGAGCGGATCCCTCTGTCTGACCCCAGACCCATGCTGCAGAGGAGGCTGCCTCCGGCCGACTTGCCGCCGTCAGATAGGTGGGGGCTGGGGGTGTGGTTCATAATGAGGAGGCTGAGCGCAACGCTGAACAAAGGAACGTTGTCGTCGGCGCTGCGCCTCAGGCGGGCATTCCTGGTCCGTCAGAGACCTGGAGAGAGAAGCGTAGAACAGTCAGATGTGAACCTGAAACCGCTCCCTATGGAGTTGAAGACACTGGCCTGAGCACTGCTGGTTCTGATGGGTCACAGCAGCGTCTCTATGGTCTCTGTTATTTCTGCAGAACATAGACTAAACAAAAGCTGCAGCTCATCTTGGACTGCTTACAGACTGGTGGGATCAGGAGCCATTTCTCCTTTTCAGATCAGACCAACCAGACCGTCCAACCGTAATGGACCAACATGCAGCTCATTAGTTTATCCCTTAAGTCTTGTATCAAAAATAGACTTTTAACCACCTCAATGGGTGTGCATCCCTTTAGTCGTGTACAAAAGAAACCTTTCGAAACGTATGGTGATCTGACCTTATATTGAAGTGGTTAAACGTCTATGTTTCATACAAGACTAAAGGGATAAACTCAAATCTGGCGTCTTGCTCATGTGTATTGACTATGGGTATGCTGGTCTGACTGAACACCGGCTTCAGCCCTCGTTCAGGTCCTTCTATGCAGAACATTCTGGTCATGACCTTACCACCTTCGGTCTCTGACCAGTTTCAGCCAGTCGCTCCTCTGAAGCTGCTGAGGAATGATCTGCTCGGTTTAGGAACCGTCCTAAACAGGTTTGGTTTGTTGTGGACGTTCCGAAAGGTTGATTTTATTCCTGATGGATGCTAGTCATCCTATTTTCCCTTCCTTCAAAGGGCCTATTTGATGGTAAATTATTATAATTTGAGCTTCTGACTGACAGACCTCGGTAATCCTCATGGATTCTGCGTTCTGACCGGCAGCCCCTCCTGGGTTCCATCATTGATCTACCCAGAGCACAGATCTGCCCCCCTGCTGGTCCCCGGGGCCCCGATCATGCCTGCTTTCAGCTGCAGCAGGTCTTCTTTACCGCATTGAAGGCATTGCTTTAATGCAATACTGTTAAGGGCCGTGTGGCTTTCCTCAGAAGTGTGTCGCAATTAGCATGTCGCAGGTATGACGTAGATAGTTTTGATTTATGCCCAATGCTGAAGCATGGTCTGCGCTATGTTATTCCACGCCTCAATGCAAGAGGGCCAATCAGGAACTAGTTAGGGTTGTGGGTGTCTCTGTTTCAGTTTGACGAGTTTTGTTCGCCGTCTACAACCCCTCATCCAACACCGGACGACACACAGTTCACCCGTGAGTGTTCCCTAAAGACTGGCCGTGGCAGTGCGTGTTTTGGCTTTGGGTGCAAACCAACAGACCGTCGCAAGTGTCCGAGGTGTGCCAGGCATTATAGACGGAACTACAGCGAGAGATTCTGCCATTCTTGGTACCAAACAGGAAATACGCATAGTGTAAAGCGGATGTAGAACTGACCAATCAGAGGCCTCCAGTCACCTACAATTTTGGAGAGGTGCAGCAGAGTGTCTGTTGTTTCTGAACATAAACCAGGCTTTAGTGGAAACAAACTGGCTAGAGAAAGTTCAGGCAAACCTAAAGGATCAATGTATCTCTATCTGACCAGACAGCAGCAGGTTTTTGTTTAAAGCATCTGAGTGTGTGGTGGCATAATGACTCGGGGAGTTAGGGAGTACATGAACACCCTGCGTTGCCTGTCGGGGCTGAGAAATCTGGAGGAAAACCACTCCCTCTGGTTGAGCAGTCAGTGCCAAGAAAAGCTGGGCTCCTTTCTGCCTGCGGCCCAGTCCACTGCCTCCCAGAACCATGGGGGACTTCCTGAGGCTCTGTGGGACCAAGTCAGTGGAATGGGAGGGGGAATGGAGCTGGGTTGGTGCTGTGGTGTGGAGCTTTATTAGGATACAGGAGGCAACACGATGAATTATAGACCCATTTCATACCATGGTGCAATCTGCAGGTAACACAGACCAGGGAGGGTTCTCTGAAACATCTGATACAGAGGAAGTTCTTACTATTATTTGATTAATGAGGTCAATTTGAGATTTGTTCTTAAGAGTAAAAGCTCATCTAAGCTGTTGGCTAGCAACACATTTTAAGCCACATGTACAAACTTTAAGTCAGAGCCTAAGAGGTGAGGGAGTGAAATGAATAAACAGCCGTCCCACAGCCTGCTTCCTGCCCTCACCTCCTCCTAAAAACTCAATCAGACACCCATAACGACACCTTTCCTGATAATCAAATAGATTTCAATTCTGTTTTTATTTTAACACCACATTTAGCTTTGTCGTAATACTACATGTACTATTAAGATAAAGACATATACTGGCACATAAAGCTACATACAGTAAGGTGACCAGATTCATAAAATCCAATCTGGTGTAATTTCCAGCTCATAGATAAAAAGAAATACATATATCAAAATTAAAATACATCAGCATCCTACATGTAGCATGCAGCTACTTATCAGTGCATGCTACATGTAAGTATCCACTGATATGTAGCGACACGTAGCATGCACTGATCTGTAGCGACATGTAGCATGCAGCTACAGATCAGTGCATGCTACATGTAAGTGTACACTGATATGTAGCGACATGTATCATGCAATAATATGTAGCAACATGTAGCATGCACTGATATGTAGCGACATGTAGCATGCACTGATATGTAGCGACATGTAGCATGCACTGATATGTAGCAACATGTAGTATCCACTGATATGTAGCAACATGTAGCATGCACTGATATGTAGCGACATGTAGCATGCACTGATCTGTAGCTACATGTAGCATGCAGCTACAGATCAGTGCATGCTACATGTAGCATGAACTGATATGTAGCGACATGTAGCTTGCACCGATATGTAGCAACATGTAGCATGCACTGATATTTAGCTACATGTAGCATGCACTGATATATAGTAACATGTAGCATACACTGATATGTAGCTACATGTAGCATGCACTGATATGTAGCGACATGTAGCATGCACTGATATGTAGCTACATTTAGCATGCACTGATGTGTAGCTACATGTAGCATGCACTGATATTTAGCTACTTGTAGCATGCACTAATATGTAGCGACATGTAGCATGCACTGATATGTAGCTACATGTAGCATGCACTGATGTGTAGCTGCATGCTACATGTAGCTACATATCGGTGCATAGTACATGTCTGATCTGTAGCTGCATGCCACATGTCGCTACATATCAGTGCATGCTACATGTTGCTACATATCAGTGCATGCTACATGTAGCATGCACTGATATGTAGCGACATGTAGCATGCAGCTACAGATCAGTGCATTCTACATGTAAGTATCCACTGATATGTAGCGACACGTAGCATGCACTGATCTGTAGCGACATGTAGCATGCCGCAACAGATCAGTGCATGCTACATGTAAGTATCCACAGATATGTACCAACATGTAGCATGCACTGATATGTGCCGACATGTAGCATGCACTGATATGTAGCTACATGTAGCATGCACTGATATGTGGCGACATGTAGCAAGCACTGATATGTAGCTACATGTAGCATGCACTGATGTGTAGCTACATGTAACATGCACTGATCTGTAGCTACATGTAGCATGCACTGATCTGTAGCTACATGTAACATGCACTGATATGTAGTGACATGTAGCATGTACTGACATGTAGCTGCATATGGTCTGGTATTGCTCCAGATATAGAAGTTTGTTCGTCAGAGATGATGAAAGCTGGGCCCAGGTCAGCGGATCACCTTAGCCCCGTACTCAGACAGCTAGCCGGCTAACCAAAGAGGCGCTATGATGGATGCACCATGTTGTTGGTATTAGGACGGACCAGGAGGACCCAGTCTGACACCATCTGGTCCAGAATCCATCAGCATACTTCTTCCTAGCTAGACTGTCTGTTTCTTGTGTTAATAAAACTATATATGTTTATTATTCTAACTATTAAAGCTGAATTTCTTTGATCAACACTGCCAGCCACACCCTACACTGGGCCAAGGATTATCTCAGGGGCCGTAGAACCTTCTGGATATTTGTCTGTGTGTCACTGTAGCCCCAGGTGTTATTTCAACAAGAAGTTAGCAAATCATACACTACATTCCTGAGCCATGATGCTGCCCTCTTTACATGGATTTAAAGGATACACCCTACATGCCAGCACAGCCCCGCCCCACACCCACAGACAGTAGCAGCCTGCCTCTCGCTGAACATAGCCCCCCCACTGTGGCTAAACAGCGGGAGCAGAGGCAGTGATCTATGTGTTTCAGCTCTGGGTTTGATCAGCCTGGTCCAGAGTCCAGCTCAGCACAGGAGAGTCAGATTTCAACCACTTATTGAACTGGGACTGGGGGGGGCAAAAATCTCCATCACTGAGTTCAATCCATTTCACTTTTATAGCACATTTACCCCCTTATAGGACTTGCATCCCCCTTACAAATAGAGAGTCCCCCCCGTCCCTCAGTGAGGTCTAGATCCTGCTACATGGCTGGACATCTGATTTTGGCATTTGACCAATTAGATGGATTTCATATGCAGTTCACCACATCATCCAGTTAGATTGATTCAAAGTTTTCTATCTAAGGAAAACCAGCTGATTGCATCGATTCATTGACTCTTCAGCAATCCCTCACACTAAGCATGCTTGTAGCGACAGTGGAGAGGAAAAACTCCCTTTGAACAGGAAGAAACCTCCAGCAGAACCAGGCTTAGCGGCCATCTGCTGAGGCCGACTGGGGTTCAAGGAGACAGAAGCAGATATACAAAAAGAAGCATAGAGACAAAAGGCAGCTATAAAAGGCGGCCCCGTCCCGGAAACACAGCCAGGCAGACAAGCTCCGAGCCAGCTCCCATGTCAAAGGATGAAGAGAGCACATCCAGTTAGTCACAGTCAGAGAAACAGGACTACACTGAAAAACAGATGAGAGACAGTGCCCTTCAACTGATTTTTCATTAATTAAACAAATATGTTTAAGAAGATCAACAATCTGCTTTATTTAGCTCAGCAGAGGCGTGGTAACGAGGCAATTATTTGATTCAGGTGTGGTAAAGGTGGGGTGCATCGAAAAGCTGCAGGATAGTAGCTCTTGAGGAATGGACTTGAGCACACCTGGGATAGGGCGTAGAGCTTGGAATCAAGATGTTCTGAGTTCGAGCCCCACTCCCACAGACTGCCACTCTGGGTCCCTGAGCAGGACCATTAACCCCACAATGCTCCCTGGGCGCCGATAATAGCAGCCCACTGCTCCCCAAGGGGAGGGGTTAAATGCAGAGGTAAATGTCTCCAATGTGATATCAATAAAGATCAATTATATTATTATTATTATGGTGCTGACAGGTGAACTTATAAAACAACGACAGCATCCATCCCTTTTCAATCAAGATATTTTCATTGAGCTTTTGAACATTTGTTTATTTACCACATGACCGCAGAAGATGAGGATTCCTTTCTGAAAGCAGACCCTCTGACCACCGATCCCCCAACAAGGGGTGCAGTTAGACCCAATCCCCTAACGGCATTTTATCTTTGATCTTAATATCTCTGGTATTCAGCACTATTTCTGATTTTAGAAACAGAACAATCAGATCAGTGGTTGCAGATGTTTGGTCTCTAATCCACTCGCTGCTGCTGCAGAAACTTATAAAATAAAACTTATAATAAAATTAAATAATAAAATTTTATTTTATATAACATCTGAAGATTCCACCTCTCCTCCAGTAAATATATCACCAACTCTGACCAGATTCTGTTCAGTCTAGATCTAGAAACGGTGTGAAAACTGGCCCAAACAGCAGGATAATCCAGTCCCCTGGACCTCCCCTCTGGGTGCCGCAGTAGCCTCACAGCAGCAAAGGTCTGAACACTGAGAACAACATGTGTGTCTTTGTGTTAGTTATCAAAACTGAACCGGGTCTAAAACGCGACTCCACCCAGCAGCCATCTGCAGCTCCAGGCTGCCACATCTGGAAAACAGATCCCCCAGAAACAGACTGCACCCCTCGGCCCCACCCAGTGTAAACGATACACGGGCCCAGATTCTGACTCTGGTTCACTGAGAGCTACAATGTGAGGAGATGCTGAAACCCTGTTCAAAGGGAAAAAACACAACAGGTCCAAAGAGAATCAAGCTCAGATCTAACAGCATAGAAACAATGCAGCCTTTAGAAAGACTCACACTCCTTCAGAACAACTGAGACGTTCCTCTGCAGGCTCTAACTACAGCCCTGCTGCAGACCATAATTACTGCCTCCTAAACACACACACTTTTTGCTCTTGCTAATGTAGTGAGGACCACGTGTTGATTCTCCTTCATTCTCAGTCATTTTTAACCCTTTATGTGCCATATATATATTTATAGACACTACTCAAAAAACTTAAAGGATCACTTTGTAATCAGAGTATAGCATCAAGTTAATTAAACTTCTGGGATATTTGGTCAGGTAAGTAGCAGAGGGGGTTGTTGATCAGTTTCAGCTGCTTTGGTGTTAATGAAATTACCAGCAGGTGAACTAGAGGGGCAACAACCAGACAACCATCATAACAGGAATGGTTTTACAGGTGGAGGCCACTGACATTTTTCCCCTCCTCATCTTCTTTGGCTAGAGTCACTGTCACTACTGTTAGCATGAGGCGCTACCTGGACCCTACAGATGTTGCACAGGCAGTCAAACTCCTCCAGGATGGCTCATCAATACGTGCCATTGCCAGAAGGTTTGCTGTGTCTCCCAGCACAATCTCAACAGCATGGAGGAGATTCCAGGAGACAGGCAGTTACTCCAGGAGAGCTGGACAGGGCCGTGGAAGGTCTACAACCCATCAGCAGGACCGCTATCTGCTCCTTTGTGCAAGGAGGAGCACTGCCAGAGCCCTACAAAATGCCCTCCAGCAGTCCACTGGTGTGAATATCTCTGACCAAACAATCAGAAACAGACTTCATGAGGGTGGCCTGGGGGCCCCACGTCCTCTAGTGGGCCCTGTGCTCACTGCCCGGCACCGTGGAGCTCCATTGGCATTTGCCACAGAACATCAGAATTGGCAAGTCGGCCACTGGCGCCCTGTGCTTTTCACAGATGAGAGCAGGTTTACCCTGAGCACATGTGAAAGACGTGAAAGGGTCTGGAGAAGCCGTGGAGAACGTTATGCTGCCTGTAACATCGTTCAGCATGACCGGTTTGGTGGTGGGTCACTGATGGTCTGGGGAGGCATATCCATGGAGGGACGCACAGACCTATACAGGCTAGACAACACCACCCTGACTGCCATTAGGTATCGGGGTGAAATCCTTGCACCCATTGTCAGACCCTATGCTGGTGCAGTGGGTCCTGGGTTCCTCCTGGTGCACGACAATGCCCGGCCTCATGTGGCGAGAGTATGCAGGCAGTTCCTGGAGGATGAAGGAATTGATACCATTAATTGGCCCCCACGCTCGCCTGACCTAAATCCAATAGAACACCTCTGGGACATTATGTTTCCATCCATGTGACGCCGCCAGGTTGCACCTGAGACTGTCCAGGAGCTCAGTGATGCCCTGGTCCAGATCTGGGAGGAGATACCCCAGGAAGCCATCCATCGTCTCATTAGGAGCATGCACCGACATTGTCAGGCATGCATAGACGCACGTGGGGGCCATACAAATGACTGGATACCATTTGGAGTTGCTGCAATGAAATTTCACCAAATGGACTAGCCTGCCACATGATATTTTGAATGTCATTTTTGGGTTGTCTTTGAATTCAGCCCTCTGTAGGTTGATCATTTTCCTTTCCATCAAACGATGCAGCATCCTTTGTTCCTTAAACATCACCCAGTCCATATCAGGATAAATAAACAGCATGAGATCTGATGTGTTGTCAAAGTGATCCTTTAATTTTTCGAGCAGTATATATATATATATATATATATATATATATATATATATATATATATATATATATATATAGTGTGTATATGTGCTACATATAAGTACATGCTACAGGTAGCAACATAACAGTGCATGAACAGCTAACAATCAAGTTTTGACCAGGACCTGTCATTTAAATCCCAGATCAAAGAGGTTTCTAGAATTTCCTTCTTTCATCTGCAGATTATCGCAAAAATCAGAAATCTCCTGTCCAGGGTGATGCTGAGAAACTAGTCCAGGCATTTGTTACTTCAAGGTTGGACTATTGTAATTCTACTTTTGTAATTCGTCTGCCTGGCTGTGTGTTTCCTGGACAGGGCCGCCTGTGGAGCTGGTTGACAGTTGCCTTTTGTATCTATGCTTCTTTTTCTATCTCTGCTTCTGTCTCCTTGAACCCCAGTCAGCCTCAGCAGATGGCCGCTCACACTGAGCCTGGTTCTGCTGGAGGTTTCTTCCTGTTCAAAGGGAGTTTTTCCTCTTCACTGTCGCTACAAGCATGCTTAGTGTGAGGGATTGCTGAAGAGTCAATGAGTCGATGCAATCAGCTGGTTTTCCTTAGAAAACTTTGAATCAATCTGACTGGTTGGATTGTCTCGGCCTTGAGATGACATGTATTGTGAATTGGTGCTATAGAAATTAATTCAATTGAATTTAAACCAGGAGCCCAGGGGCCAAAAGCCAGTACATTATTCAATTCCAAAACTCAGAATGTTTTGAAATGTTTATCTCCACATCTTCAACTAACCAACATTTCCCTCCTGCCATCTCAGTTAGGCGTGATACAGTAAAACAGACAGGTCTAAAAAAGCGAGACCAAGCACTGGATCAGGAAGCGACAGAATCAGTGTGAAGCCAGTCTGAAACAAACAGGAAGCCAAATGTAGCGTGAGCTGCAGAGATGGAAGGAGAAGCTGCAGATCCAGAGAGGCTGCAGGAAGGTTAGACGCCATGGAAACGGGCTCCTGGACAGAACCACAGCTGGTTACCTGACCGGGCCAGATTCCTGCCAGTCTGCTGACCAATCATGCTGTTATTGGACTGATCCGCTCTCAGAACCACCAGGGGTTTCCATGGCAGCCAGAAGCAGCTGCTGAGTGACAGGCTGGGAGGAAGTCTGACATCACTTCCTGTTGACGTGACCTTTGCTTCTGCTGCAGCAGGAGCTGGACATCAGCTGGGGAACATCTGGGCAGCAGCTGGAGAACCCACCCCCCCATAAACTAGGCACTGGGATCCAGCCTGCTGCTCAAAGCTGCAGAAGCTAAAGTTGTGTTTGAACAGAGCAGGTCAGGGTTCTGGTGGGCCGACCAACAATGGTCCAGATGGTCCAGGGAACAGCTCCTAAACCTCAGCTCTCCACTGAGCACAGACAGTTGCTGCGCTGTCTAGTTTCATATATCTACACTAAGCCCAGCAGCTCTGGGTCAGATGTTATAGGATGCCAGTAGACATGGAGAGGAAGCCTGGAAGCTCAGGCGGTCTGAGCTCCAGTCCTCCAGCCTCAGGTCTGGGTCCACACAGGGGACTAGAACCATCCCCAACACCGCCGAACACAGAGAGAAAAGCTGAGATGATGCCCGGTGCTGCAGCCAGGACCAGGGACCTACCTGAAGGAGCCGCTGCTCTCCGCTACAGAAGCTGCTCCTTGTCCTCAGAAAGACCCAGATCCTCCATTATTCCTCCGCTCTTCCCTCCCAGCCTGGAGTCTGGATGAAAAAAATGACTTCCACCCACAGAGCAGACAACAGACCGAGCTCTGGCCCGTCCTGACCAATCAGCGGCCGAGATTGCACACAGCGACTACTTTCAGCCAATCACGGCCCGCTCTCAGCGTAGGTGCGTGCGCTGATTGGCTGGCTGAGCAAAGCCCTCCCACTCTACGTTCCTGCTCTTTCTGATGGAATGTCCTACACCAGGCATCCCCAAACCCGGTCCTCGAGGGCCGCTGTCCTGCAGGTTTTAGAGGTTTCCAGCACAGCTGATTTTAATTGAAAGCTGATTAACAGGCTTTTGCTCTACTGCAATCATTGTAATCAGCTGTTTTAAAGCAGGGAAACCTCTAAAAACTGCAGGACAGCGGCCCTCGAGGACCGAGTTTGGGGTGGCCTGTCCTACAGGTTCCCCAGAAGAACCTCCAGAACCAGACCAGTTCATTTATGGGTCAGAACTGGGATCCTGTCAGGGAGCAGAGATGGACCGGAACCAGCTTCATTATGGCTGCCACATTTAACTAAACCACTAAATAAATACTGTTATGGAGTATTTTCCTGTACTGTTTTACTTCAAACCGAGTAGTTTTCTGTACTGTAGTACTTTAAGCAGAGTAGTTTCTTGCACTGTAGTACTTTAAACCGAGTATTTTTCTGCACTGTAGTACTTTAATCTATCTATCTATCTATCTATCTATCTATCTATCTATCTATCTATCTATCTATCTATCTATCTATCTATCTATCTATCTATCGCATGTCTACTTCCGCTTTCGGACCGACCATTAATGTGAAAGGTGTTACCCGGAAGTGGTTCGCGTTAGCTTGGAGCTAACTAGCGCTGGTGTCTACCTTGGAGCAGTTACTGCGGAGAGGAAGCGTTCAGGTGAGGTCCGGGGAGCGTTTTTCTGGAATGTTCGGTCATGTGATGTTAGGGCCCAGGGGAACATGGAGCCGATGAAGGCTTCCGGACCGGAGGTTCGGCTCTTTAAGGGTTGTTTTCACTTGTTCAACATTTGGAAGGAAAGTTCAGCCACGGGGCTAGCTTCCGTTAGCTTTGGGCTAACATTAGCGCTAGCTGTCGGTGCGGCGATAACAGCGTCTGTTTGTGGTTTATTGTGGAAAGCCACTCCACGGAGCTTTCTGCAAAGCGGTGGCTGGGTGTTCGCGGCAGCACCGGCTGACAGCGGGCAGCTGAGCGGCTGGAAGGGACCGGAGCCCAGCAGGAACACACCGTCCGGTCATGTAAGCTCCTCTCTGAAGTTCCCTGAAAACCTGTAGGTCCGGAAAATCCCGTTTTTCATCACAGTCTGAGATTTCTGTCGGATTAGAGCAGCAGGAGTCCAACAGGAAGTCAGCCTCCTGGAGATTGATGAGTGATCCTCTCAGTAGGATAGCTTCAGGGGCCTCATTGGGACCCCATAGTTCTAGGGGCCTCTTTGGGACCAGGAGCCCTCCTTCAGTTTAAGTCCTGATTTGTGACCCTTGGCTGCGGACTCTCTGATGTCCACCTGCAGTGGGACATGCAGGTGGACATGTTTATGTATTTCTATAGCGCCAATTCACACCATGTCATTTCAAGGCTCTTTGCAGTTCACCAGATCATCCAGTCAAATTGATTCAAAGTTTTCTATCTAAGGAAAACCAGCTGATTGCATCGACTCATTGACTCTCCAGCAATCCCTCACACTAAGCATGCTTGTAGCGACAGTGGAGAGGAAAAACTCCCTTTGAACAGGAAGAAACCTCCAGCAGAACCAGGCTCAGTGTGAGCGGCCATCTGCTGAGGCCCACTGGGGTTCAAGGGGACAGAAGCAGACATAGAAAAAGAAGCATAGATACAAAAGGCAACTGTCAACCAGCTCCACAGTCGGCCCCGTCCAGGAAACACACAGCCAGGCAGACGAGCTCCGAGCCAGCTCCCATGTCAGAGAATGAAGAGAGCACATCCAGTTAGTCACAGTGAGAGAAACAGGACTACACTGGAAAACAGGCCAAGCTCCAACATCTAGAAACAAAGGTGTTGATGGCAGCAGCACAGCTGATATTTCTCTCATAGGTGGCAGTAGTGTTCTTTGACAAACATGGATGCCTCCAGTAAAGCACATTCAAATGAAAATGACTGAATTAAAAACACTGATCATTTATTGAACAGGGTGGAATAATTATTGATTTAACAAACTCTCAGACGTTTTAGTTCTGAATATGAGTGATTTTCCTTTAAAGCCGAGAATATACTGTACCATTTTTTGTTGTTTTTTTTTTTTTTGCCCTTTTCGGGCCGATTTTCCAGTCGTGCGAGAATTTTTCATTTGGGCCGATGGTGCCTCATGTAGTGTTCAGGGGGTAGCGAGGGACGATCAGCCTCTCATGACCAGGAGTCATAAGGTCAGGAGAAATTCAGGCAGCCGTCGTAAGGTCGCATCAGAGCGTTGGGTCGCACAGTGTGAGAACATACATCATCAGCTGTGAACTTATAAACCCTGCTGTTTCATTGTACAGTTTGAGCTTCAGCTGCGTGCAGCGATTGAAAAAAATCGTACAGTGTACGCCTGACTTTAAGGTGTTTGTCCTTTGTAGATCATTTGGACCAAACCAGCAGGTTCATCAGACGGAACAGAAGCTCTGAGCCGGATCTGAACAACCTACTTCTTCCTCTGTGTCTTTCCAGCATCCACCTCTAACGATGGAGACGGCAGCGGTCTGTGAGCTTGACCTGGAGGACAGGAGAATAGTGAGCGGCAGTGACTCCCCTGCTGAGCTGGACAGTCCCTGTAAGGTAAACCATGGTGGCTCGTTGGAGGAGAAATGTTCCTGAGTCTTGAAGCTGTTGGCAGGTAGAACCGTAAGACTAGAACCAGACGTCTCTGGGGCGTCCTGTCAACGTCCTCCCGTTCACAGCGGTGTGTTTGTGTTCCAGGAAGAGGTGGCAGGGTTCCATTTGAGTCTTTGTGGCCCTGAGGAGGAGCGGGGGGAGACTCCTGGGAGAGAGGACAGTCCCAGTGAGCTGGATCCAGGAGAGACCAAGACTGGAGAGCATAAAGCCTTTGGTAGGAGGAGAGGTACCAGACTGGACCTCAGTTAAACTGTCTGACCACCATGGCTGCGTCCGACCCGCCGCCCTAACCCCTCCATCCCTCTATAGAGTGGGACTTCATAATGAACTCAGTTAACTGACCGTTCGGACAGGTGGTCACTACTTTTCTCTCTCCATTGGTCCCGTAACTCCGCTTACCCCATACTCTGCCTGAGCCATCTTTGTTATTTGTAATTGACTGCTGACCGGTGTGACAACAAATCCCATGAGGCTTTGCGAGGAGAGCTCTCCTCACAAAGCATCATGGGATATATCTGCTTGTCTAGGGACCATGGATGATTACTAATTTTTTAAGGTGCATTGAGGGAAATTTCAAGTCCACTACTATTTCATCCACTGGACAATTGGAAGCTGTTTTAAAATGGCGTTATCACCATATGGTGCAATATTCAGAGGTTAGGGCGGACATTCGGACATAGCGTATGATTCCTGCTAAATGAGACCTTCCCTGACCTCCTGTTTCTCCTCATACTCCATCCAGGGAAGGAGGTGGTGCTCCTGATGCAGGCGCTGAACTCTCTGGCCACTCCAGAGGAGAAGCTGGCTGCGCTGTGCAAGAAATACGCAGACCTGGTATGAGTGCTGTGTTAGCGTAGCATGTCTGTTATAGCGTAGCATGTCTGAGTTAGCGTAGCATGTCTGAGTTAGTGTAGCATTAATGAGCTAGCGTAGCATGACTGAGTTAGCGTAGCGTGTCTGTGTTAGTGTTAGAGTAGTATGTCTGTGTTAGCATAGCATGACTGAGTTAGCATAGTGTGTCTGTGTTAGAGTGTTAGAGTAGCATGTCTGTGTTAGCATAGCGTGTCTGTGTTAGAGTGTTAGAGTAGCATGTCTGTTAGCATAGCATGACTGAGTTAGCATAGTGTGTCTGTGTTAGAGTGTTAGAGTAGCATGTCTGTGTTAGCATAGCGTGTCTGTGTTAGAGTGTTAGAGTAGCATGTCTGTGTTAGCATAGCGTGTCTGTGTTAGAGTGTTAGAGTAGCATGTCTGTGTTGGCATAGCATGTCTGTGTTGGCATAGCATGTCTGTGTTGGCATAGCATGTCTGTGTTAGCGCAGCGTGTCAGAGTAAGCGCAGCGTGTCCGAGTTAGCGCAGCGTGTCCGAGTGTGCGCAGCATGTCCGTGATGGCGCAGCATGTCCGTGTTAGCGCAGCGTGTCCGTGTGAGCGTAGCGTGTCCGAATGTGCGTAGCGTGTCTGTGTTAGCGCAGCATGTCCGAAGCACCGTAGCATGGCTGACTTGGCGTTGTGTAGCATGGTTTGGGTAGCATGGTCAAGTTAGCGTAGAAAGTCTGACTTTGCGTAGCATGGCATTGTTGATGTAGCATGCCGCAGTTTGTCAGTCGCAGGGCAGTGGTTTTTAGCACTGATCTCTCTTTATTCACTGGATCGCTGATAGACTGAAAAAACTGAAGTGATTTGCCGCCATGTTGGTCCTCCCCACTCATGTAGTCACGCCATAGAAATGCCTGTAATGTAATTACCATAACAATGTAATCAATACATGTATATTACATGTACATCATCAATTTAGCACGTTTGGAGCATCATCAGATAGTGTGTGTCTGTAATATTCTTAATATCTGGCTGCAGTATTATTCTGCCTCATTTACATTACGGTAATTATATTGTGATGGATTTGTATAATATGTTATATTACATGATTCATAGACTTCATATTTATAAATATGATGTGTCTATTTTTTATTTTTTTTGCCATAAATGACCATAATGTACCGATGCTATAAACAGCCAATGTGTGTCAAAGCGATGAATTTATCTTTATTTTAAGTCTCCAGTCCCCCAGTAAATGAGAACATCATGGTTGTTTGAGGCTTAAGCTCACAGATTGTTTACACTGCGACCGGTCTAACTGGGTCCGCTCCTCATCAGCCTTACACCCGTCTGTCCCTTCTACCCGTCTCACCACCAGGGAGAACAGAGCGTTCAGCCGCTGTGCCCCCCTGCCTCTGGAACTCTCTACCATCCTTACTGAGAAACACTGACTCACTTCTCCATTTCACTACTCAAAACGCCATTTCTCTTAAATATTATTCTCCCATCCCAGCCTTCGTTTTTTTTAAATGGTTTTATTCCGTGTTTTAACTTTGTTTCTCCCATTGGGTGTTTATCTTTTGTGCCGTGACCTTGACTGTCCAGAAATGCGCCTTTGACATAAAATGTATTATTATATTTATTATTAGGGAGTACCAATATGGTGGCTAGTGACTTCACAGCACTGTGTACTACCAACGGCCTATCACCAGTCCATTTAATGGAGATCAGTGGTGCATCTTCCTCTTAGCCTTGCTGGGCGCCTCACAGGCTGATGCAGGCACTCAGACTGTAGCCGTGGTAACAAGGACAGATGCTTGTAGCTGCTTCCTCTGTGGTTCTCTCATAATCTCTGCCTCCCAGCTGAATTTTCTGCTGGGTTCTGGAGGTTTTTCTGCTGTCATAGCCTCGTAAAGTGTTTGTGTCCTAACGTGGTTCTGGTCCGGTCTGTGTCCAGCTGGAGGAGAGCCGCTGCATGCAGAAACAGCTGAAGGCCCTGCAGAAAAAGCAGTCTCAGATCGTCAAGGAGAAGGTCCACCTCCAAGGAGAGCACAGCAAAGCCATCCTGGCCCGCAGCAAGCTGGAGAGCCTCTGCAGAGAGCTGCAGAGACACAACAAGACCCTGAAGGTAAGCTTCTGCTCCCGAGGAGAACCAGGTCCCTGCATTCTCACCTTCAGTGATTGTCCCCTGCAGGAGGAGAACGCCCAGCGGTCTAGGGAGTATGAGGAGCAGAGGAAGGAGGCCATGCTGCACTTCCAGGTGACTTTGGGGGACATCGAGGTCCAGATGGAGCAGCACAGCTCCCACACGGCCAAGCTGAGGCAGGAAAACATGGACCTGGCCGACAAGCTCAAGAAGCTGATCGAGCAGTACGAGCTCAGGGAGGAGGTACGGAACTACTGCTGTACACAAGCTCAGTGCTTCTATCAGTTCTAGATCTACCTGAGTTTCCTAGTCATCGGTCTATGTGTCAACCGGTGGTTCTGCAGCTCGCTAACCGTGTTCTGTTCTGCAGCACATAGACAAAGTCTTCAAACACAAGGAGCTGCAGCAGCAGCTGATGGACGCCAAGCTGGTGAGGATCACAGAGATGATGAGGGAGGTGGAGGACAAGCAGCAGCGCGAGAGGGACCTGGTAACTATGGCAACTGCTTCATCTGCATCATCCCTGCTGGTAGTAGTGATGCTATTAGTGTTACCCGGGTTAACAAAGCAGACTGCAGGCTATTGAAATCATGAAAACCCAGTTAGAAACCAGTCCATGACCCGCTGTCCGTCTGTCTCGTTTCAGCTGCTGAAGGACGCCACCGAGTCCAGACGGAAATGTGAGGCTATGAAAGAGCAGGAGGCTCAGCTCAAACAGCAGGTGAGCCGGGGATCAGAACCGAGCCTGGAGCAGCAGAATGTGGTCCCGAGGTCTGACCCTCTTCTGTCCCCGCAGCTGTCCCTCTACATGGACAAGTTTGAGGAGTTCCAGAGCACGCTGGCCAAGAGCAACGAGGTCTTCACCACCTTCAGGCAGGAGATGGAGAAGGTGAGCTCTGATTGGACCACAGGAGCCAATGACCTCAGCTCACAGTCTGATCCAGTGAAGTGGGCCTGGGAGAGGCGGAGCTTGGTTATTATGGGATGTTAACAACCTTCCAGGTCACAGTCTGCATCCTTTTTCAGACCAACAGCCATGAACAAGAAATGCAAACCTAGAAGTCCACATTCAGCGCTGACAGATGAGCTCATGCTAGATCCAACCTCCAGACAGAACAGGAAGGATGGAAACTCCTAAATCCTTCAAATTTTAGATCATTTTTAGAATTGGGACAGAAAAAAATCACATTTCAGTCTTTCTGGAGCCCATTTTGTTTTGGTTCTGTAAACAATTGGATCCGGTTCTGTCCAGTTTGAGCAATGAAGGTCATACCCTGGCAATGAGAATATCGCCATGGAAACAATGTTTCTAAACACCTTGGCTGTCTGAACGTCCAGCGTAATGCCTCCATCATTACAAAGTCCACTAGCCATTGGGACGCTGGTATAAAATGACCTCACCCCTGTATAGTTCTTTATGGTTGTAAAGGGTGGATGTTTGTCTGTTACCTCCTGATTGGGACATAAACCCGAGGGAAACTCTTTGAGGACGTGAACACGGCCGTTAAAGAGCTAGGAGAGTTACGTCACTTCCTGTACCCTGAAGCATCACCGAAACAACCCCAAAAGTCTCAATAGTTCATTTAGGAGAACATTTTGATTGACGATCAAAATCCGTCAGCTGCTGATCGAGGCTGGGGGCTAGCTGCTCGGCTGGCTTCCAGGCTAGCTGCTGGGCTAGCTGCTGGGCTGGCTTCCAGGCTAGCTGCTGGGCTAGCTGCTGGGCTGGCTTCCAGGCTAGCTGCTGGGCTAGCTGCTGGGCTGGCTTCCAGGCTAGCTGCTGGGCTAGCTGCTGGGCTGGCTTCCAGGCTAGCTGCTGGGCTAGCTGCTGGGCTGGCTTCCAGGCTAGCTGCTGGGCTAGCTGCTGGGCTGGCTTCCAGGCTAGCTGCTGGGCTAGCTGCTGGGCTGGCTTCCAGGCTAGCTGCTGGGCTAGCTGCTCGGCTGGCTTCCAGGCTAGCTGCTAGGCTGGCTTCCAGGCTAGCTGCTGGGCTGGCTTCCAGGCTAGCTGCTGGGCTAGCTGCTCGGCTGGCTTCCAGGCTAGCTGCTAGGCTGGCTTCCAGGCTAGCTGCTGGGCTAGCTGCTGGCCTCACTAATCTATTTATTCACTGGATTGCTGACAGACTGGAAAAACTGAAGTACCGTGCTGCCATCTTGGTACTCCCCACTCTCACAGAGTCGTGCCATACCAATGCCTGTAATGTACTTAACATAACAATGTAATCAATACATGTATATTACATGTACATCATTAATTTAGCACTTTTGGAGAGTCATCAGATAGTGTGTGCATGTCTGTAATATTCTTAATATCTGACTGCAGTATTATTCTGCTTCATTTACATAAATTTTATTGTGATGGATTTGTATAATATATTATATTACATAGTTCATACTGACTGCAGTGTGATGTGTCTGTTTTATACCTTACATGACAGTAATCTACTGATGCTATGAAACAGCCAATGTGTGTCAAAGCGATTAATTATAATTTTTTTTTTAAGTCTCATTGTTGGTCAATGCTGTTGCGCACAGATTGTTTACATTCTGACCAGTCTAACCAGGGAGTAGCAATATGGCGGCTGGTAACTTCACAGCACCGCGTACTAGCGACAGCCTATCAGTAATCCAGATGAGTGGGTTGGCTTCTGGGCTATCTGCTAAGCTAGCTGTCAGGAGGAGCTGGGCCCAGGTTCTGGTTCTGCAGTAGTTCCTCTGATCAAAGCTCCACCGATCTGATTACATCCCATCTTTGCAGATGACCAAGAAGATCAAGAAGCTGGAGAAGGAAACGACGCAGTGGAGGACCAAGTGGGAGAGCAACAACCAGGCCCTGCTGCAGATGGCGGAGGAGGTGAGCTCCCTGATCCGGTCCCATGGGTCCAGTTCTGCTCCCAACAGCGCCTAACGGTTGGTTGTGTTGCAGAAAACTCTGCGTGATGGCCACTTCAAGGCCCTGCAGGGGAAGCTGGATCTGCTGCAGCGGCTCTGCAGAGCTCTGCAGAAGGAGAGGAACGACCTGAGCAACCAGCTCAGCCTCCTCCAGGAGCAGGGAGGCAAGGAGGAGGCACCACCCGGACCGGACCAGCAGGGGGAGCCCATGGAGGAGGAAGATTCTGAGGAGGAGGAGCTGCAGGCTGGGGGCCTTCATCAGGGACCAGAGCAGAACGATGCAGATGGAGGCAACCAGCCTGCTGCTCTGTAGCTGATGGAGCTTCTCCAGAACCGCCTTCTGGACCCGGTTCTGGGCCTGTCCTTCATATCTTTTGGTTTTTATTATGATTCACTCAATAAAATGATTACATCCAGAACATTCCCTATGTGAGGGCCTCCTCCATCAGCAGCCGGGTTCTGCCGGCCTCCTTCCTGATCCCACCTTTGGGTTCTAGCAGCAGGTCCACCTCCTCCATTAGAACTGGGTCAGGTTCTGGAGGTCCGTCAGTCTTCATGGAGCTCATCCTCTGCAGCAGCACCTCAGGCTGAAGAGAGGAAGATGAAGATGGAGGATGGCCCAGCGAGTCCATCAGAACCATGCTGGAGTTTCCTCTGAGGTCCTCCACCCGCTGCAGCAGGAGCAGCAGATCCACGAGGATCCATTCTCAGAACCAGGTTCATTCCTTTCTCCTCCATCTGACCCGTTCTGAGCTTCAGGACCAGGATGGACCTCCAAACTTTTGCCCAGTAGGAAGGAAATGATCAAAGCAGCTGGTAGTTCAAACAGGTGTGTAGATCGGACACCATGAAGCCAGGTCATCAGAGCAGCAGCTTAAAGCTCCAACATGAGCTAAGCTAATGCTAGCTTCACTGTGGTAACAGCAGATGCTAATCTTTAGTTATCTTCCTTCCATTAAAAAGTTTCCTTTAATCTCCAACATCTCTGAGGAGGCGAGACTTCCTGAAAGCAGCCAATCACAGGCAGGTACAGTCCTCCCTCCATGTAAGGACAGTTAGCTCTGAACCAGCAGCTCAGGCTGGGAGGAGAAGATGTGGAACCAGAGGAGGATCCTGGTGTTCCATGTATGGAGCATCGGATCCCATCAGGGGAGCTGGTACCTTTAGATGGTTCTGCTGCAGGGTTCCGGCCCGTAATGACTCAGGTCCTGTCAGAATCTACCTCTGTGGGTCGGGCTGGGCTTCCATGTCCTCTACCGAAAATGTTCTTCCAGTTTGTCTGACTTTTAATAAACCTTTTGTAGGATTTCCACCAAGTTTATTTATTGGCTCCTCGTCATCACTGACCCCACTTCCTGTGGCCGTGTCCAAACGTCCGCCCTGACCTCTGACCCCTCCATCACTACACAGTCACCTTTATGGGGACACGTGTTAACTGACCTTTCTGACATCACATCTAGTTTTGGTCACGTGGCTCTGACTCCTTGCACAACACCATCTTTGCACTTTAATCCCCAAAAACAAATCCCATGAGGCTTTTGGAGAAGAGCTCTTGCAAAGCCTTCTGGGATATATCTGCTCGTCTAGTGACCTTTCAATGTGCATTGTGGGAAATCTTAGCCCTATTGGGGCTCTATATACAGCGGCTCTATGAAGGGGTTAGGGTGGATGTTCGGACACAGCCTTAGACATCATGAATGAACCCAGACGCCTGGTTCTGACCCGCCACGGTTTAATCAGCTGGAAGATCTGACACACAACCACCTGATCTAACAAAAAATGGGACCAATCAAAACCGGAGAGCTGAAGGCCGGTCCAAACCAACCAGACCAGGAGGATGCAGCGTGTTCGGGTCGTCAGGAGGCGGAGCTGCAGCGCTGCTCAGGTCCCGCCCTCCCAGGAGAAGTCCAATATCCTGGATGAACTGAAACAGGTGGTCAGCTGGCTGGAGGCCCGCCTCCTCTGACATCACAGCCGCCTCTGAAGGGGAAGCAGGCGGGTCCACAGATGCAGCAGTGTCTCCTTCATGGACCCATTTAGATTCAGATGTTCTAACCTGTTTGGCTTTTTGATGCTGAACTGGGTTCGGTTCTGGAGGGACCGACCCACTGGACCCAGGCCATCTCTGTCCACAGCTGAGAAGAGGATATCCTGCAGGTTCCTCTTTAGAACATCTGGAGGTCTTCCTTTGGATCAAAGCTTCTCCCCAGCTGTGACAGAATCTAGAAATAAAATCTATAAAACCATCTTTCTAGTTCAGTATTCGAATCTTCAGGTTCTGGAGAGGAACCTTCAGCTTTGTGCTATGGGAAGGAGGATGCTGGTGGCGTTACCTAGCAACAGACCCCAAATCCTGTGGTCCAAAACAGCAGATATCAGGTTTGTTACAATATCCAGAAAATTTTTGTAGATTTTAGTTCTAGATTCTGTCAAAGGTAAGGAGAGCCTTTGATCAAATGTCAGGTTTCTATAGAATCTGCAGATGTTCTGTCTTGTTTAAATCTATAGAAAAGATTTAAAAGGACTAAATACTGTCTGTTTATTGGATAAGATTATGGATCTGATCCTTTTCCCCTTATTAGATCTACAGTCATGGCCAAAAATTTTGAGAATGATTCAAATGTTAATATTTACAAAGTCTACTGCTTCAGTTTTTATAACGGCAATTTGCATATACTCCAAAATGTTATAAAGAGTGATCAGCATAACAGCAACTAATTTCAAAGTCAATATTTGCCTAGAAAATGAACTTTATCCCGCAAAACACATTTCAGCGTCATTGCAGCCCTGCCTTAAAGAAGCAGCTAACATGGTTTCAGTGATTGCTCCATTAACAGGTGTGGGTGGTGATGATGACAGGGCTGGAGATCAATCTGTCAGGATTAAGTCAGAATGACATCACTGGACACTTTAAAAAGAGGCTGGTGCTTGGCATCATTGTTTCTCTTCTGTGAACCATGGTTATCTCTAAAGAAACACGTACAGTCATCATTGCACTGCACAAAAATGGCCTAACAGGAAAGAGAATCGCAGCTAGAAGGATTGCACCTCAGTCAACAATCTATCGCATCATCAAGAACGTCAAGGAGAGAAGTTTCATAGTTGCCAAAAAGGCTCCAGGGCGCCCAAGAACAGACATAGGCAATGTGGAGTCAACAAGTCGTCTCCATGTCATGTATTTAATCTACCCAGCCAATTAACCAGGTGAGTCCAATCTGCACAGGTTAATTCATGGTGAAGATTGGACTCACCTGCTTCAGTGGCTGGGTAGAACAAATACATGACATGTAGATGACTTGTTGACTCCACATTGAGGTCCTGAAGAGGAGGGGTCAACACTGCAAATATTGACTTGCAGTGTTACTCAGAATATGATTGCAATTGTATTTCTGTGTGTGATGACAGCATCTGACATGAAAACCAGAGGGCAGCAGATCAGGTGAAAATACAATATTTGTGTCATTCTCAAAACTTTTGGCCATGACTGTAATAAACGTAGATGTCCATCATCATGAGCTACACTGCAGATCCTATTATGGATATAGATATTACTATAGATCCTATTATATATATAGATATTACTATAGATCCTATACAGATGATATTATAGATCCTATTATTGATGCAGATATCATAGATATTATAGATATTATTATAGATATCAGAGATATATATTACCAGAGATCATATTATATAGACATTATAGATATCATGGATAAATCCTATTATAGATAAAGATATTATAGATCCTTTACAGATATAGATATTACTATAGATCCTACTATAGATATAGATATTAGTACAGATAGTATTATAGATATAGATGATGTAGATAACATTATAGATCATACTATATATATAAATAGATATAATAGGATCTATAATATCTATGATATCTATATCAATAATATGATCAATAATAACATCTATATCTATAATAGGATCTATAATAATATCTATGATATAGATATATATCCTTTTATAGATATTATAGATGTTACTATAGATATTTAATCAGTTGATTGGACATTTAAACTTCAGATTTTGCTTTTTTTCACCTCAATCTTATAAAAAGGCAGATGAGGATATAAAATCAATCTGCTGCTTAGTTTCCAGCAGTAACCGGAAGTGAGCCCGTCCATATTTGGTCTGTCTCCAGGTGTCTTTGTCCTCTGCATCCTTCACATCTTCATCATTTATTAAACTGCTGTTCTCACACAGAACCATTGATGCTCGGATGTCCAGTCTAGAGTCTCGGGCCCAGTTCGATGTAGAGCAGATCCGTCCGAACCACAGTGGTTCTGCAGCGACATGGTTTGTCCCAGACCGTGGGGTACCAGGCGGGGGAGCTGGTGTTCGCCAAGATGAAGGGATACCCCCACTGGCCAGCCAGGGTGAGTGAGGGGGAGCAGGCAGGTAAACAACCACAGGGCTGCAGTCAGTTTCCTTCAGATTTTCAGCTTTTTGTAGAAATAAATATAAAATAGACCAGAAAAGAGGATTTGTTCACTTTATAGTTTGTGTTTGTTTTGTAAATGATCCCTGAGAGAATAAAGTCTTTTCTATTCAGTTTATTTCTATAGCGCCAATTCACATCATATTGTCTCAAGGCACATTACAGTTTACCATATCATCCAGTCAGATTGATTCAAAGTTTTCTATCGGAGGAAAATCAGCTGATTGCATCGACTCATTGACTCTTCATCAATCCCTCACACTAAGCATGCTTGTAGCGACAGTGGAGAGGAAAAACTCCCTTTTAACAGGAAGAAACCTCCAGCAAAACCAGGCTCAGTGTGAGCGGCCATCTGCTGAGGCCGACTGGGGTTCAAGGAGACAGAAGCAGACATAGAAAAAGCAGCTGTAAAAGGCGGCCCCATCCAGGAAACACACAGCCAGGCAGACGAGCTCCGAGCCAGCTCCCATGTCAGAGGATGAAGAGAGCACATCCACTTAGTCACAGTTAGAGAAACAGGACTACACTGAAAAACAGGCCAAGCTCCAACATCTAGAAACAAAGGTGTTGATGGCAGCAGCACAGCTGATATTTCTCTCCAGGATGGAGTCACAGCCAAACAGGAACAGACCAGATGAAGCTACTATGAGAAAAAGCAGAGAGAGCAGAACGTTAGAGATTGAACTAACAGATTCTGCAGAGTGGGAGAATAGAGATAGAATGAAGCAGAATGAGGAAAAAGGGGTCCCTATGTCCTCTAGCAGTCTAAGCCTATAGCAGCATAACTATAGAGATAGCTCAGGATAACCTGAGCCACTCTAACTAGAAGCTTTATCAAAAAGGAAAGTTTTAAGCCTAGCCTGAAAAGTAGACAGGGTGTCTGCCTCACAGACTAAAACTGGTAGTTGGTTCCACAGGAGAGGAGCCTGATAACTAAAAGATCTGCCTCCCATTCTACTTTTAGAAATTCTAGGAACCACTAGTAAACCTGCAGATTGAGAGCGAAGTGCTCTGTTAGGAACATAAGGAACAATCAGATCTCTGATATCAATTGGAGCTTGGCCATTTAAGGCTTTATATGTGAGAAGGAGGATTTTAAATTCTATTCTGGATTTAACAGGAAGCCAATGAAGAGAAGCCAGGATAGGAGAGATATGATCTCTCTTTTTCATTTTCATCAGAACTCTGGCTGCAGCATTTTGGATCAGCTGAAGGCTTTTAACTACAGTTTGTGGACTTCCTGATATTACAATAGTCCAGCCTCGAAGTAACAAATGCATGGACTAGTTTCTCAGCATCACCCCTGGACAGGAGATTTCTAATCTTTGCAATATTCCTCAGATGAAAGAAGGAAATTCTAGAAACCTCTTTGATATGGGATTTAAATGACAGGTCCTGATCAAAAACAACACCAAATTTTTTTACTTTATTATCTGAAATCAGTTTAATCCCATCCAAATGAAGTGACTGACTAATCAGCTTCTTTTTCAAAGACTCTGGTCCAAAGACTATAACTTCTGTTTTGTCTGCATTCAGAAGGAGAAAGTTAAGAGTAATCCAGGTTTTTATGTCTTCAGACATGCCTGTAATTTATGTAATGGGTTAGCTTCATCTGGATTATAGACAGATATAGCTGGGTATCATCAGCATAACAGTGGAAATTAATCCCATGCTGTCTAATAATTCTACCGATTGGGAGCATGTATAAAGTAAAGAGAATTGGTCCTAGCACTGATCCCTGTGGTACTCCACAGGTAACCTTTGAGCATGTTGAAGATTTGTCATTAACGTGAACAAACTGAATTCGATCTGATAGATCAGATTTAAACCAGTCTAGTGCTGTTCCTTTAATTCCA